ATTCCTGATGTACATTCGCCTCCTTCAACCTTTCCTTTTCCAGGCCCCTCTTGGTTACAGTACTCAGTCGTCAGAGGACGGTAATGTGTCAGAGGGAAACAGCAGAGAGACAGATGTACAGACAGGGAGCGTGGCCATCACGAATGTAAATACGAATCTGGGCTGCTTCTCCCCAGCTCAGAGGATCACAGTGACCTCAGCCACTGTGGAGTCCCAGTGAGATCCTAAGGAAAGTAGCCAAGAATTCACTGGCTCGTACATTCATCACTCACCCGCCTGTCTTATCACCTAGAGTGTTTGTCACACACAGAGAGGTTCCAGCCAGCTGGGAATTCACAGAGTCTTGCTAAGTAAAACCAGAGCTGCGAGGCAGGTGCTAACCGTAATTAGGAAAACAGTCTGTCTGCCCACTGGAGGGAGGTAGCAACTGCAGAGCGACCAGGAAACGGTAGCCCTGGGGGAGGTGAGATGTCTGTGGAGCCTTGCATCAGTGCAGAGGAAGACGCAGTCCAGGAGCAGGAAATCCTCCCAGTGTTAACAGCTCGAGTGAGGTTTGGAGGCGACCAAGCAAACCAGGCACGTGATGAGTGGCAGTTAGCGGAACACAGCAGAAATGACAGTGCAGGGGGAAAGGACGGGGCACGGGGCTTTCAGCACAGGACCTGACCAGCATCCAAAGGCTGCGTGATGAGGGGTCTGAACAGGGTCCCTTCAAGCTGTGCTCTTTCCATACCCCGTGCAGCTGTTGTGGGTGTGAGCTGAGATAAAACACAGCTGTAAAGTACACATTGGGTTTCAAAGATGGAGTACCGAAGGAAAAACAGTGCTCATGCGTGCCCGTTACATTGGTAGCTCATTAAATGATTGTATTTAGGACATGTGTTAAATAAAAAATATCATTAGAAATCATTTCACCTATTCTTGCTTTTTATTATTTTTTGAAAACTATTTTTAGAGATGGGAAGTCTCACTTTGTTTCCCAGGCTAAAAATCCCCCTGGGCTAAAAACTCAGGGCATCTTCTGCCTCAAGCTACCAAGCAGCAGGGTCCACAGATTCATGCCAGCAGGCACAGCCACTTTATTTGAGTGTGGCCACTGGAAAGTCCGGGACTGTGGATGTGTCTTGCCCCCGAGCCTTAGCACACAGGAAGCAGTCAGATAGAGCAAAGGCAAATGTGGACGGAGGACAGCAAGGACACAGGGAAAGCCAAGGCGACAGCAGACGGAGATTTGGAAGCCCAGTGGCGGTTGGGTGAGAAACAACTCGGATGAAAGGAAAGAGCTGACACCGCACACACAGGAAGAGTAGGCCACACCTGCCGCACCTGCTGAGCAGCCTGTATCCGAGAATGTGGCGAGGATTGATGACACAGGGACCAGTCGGTTTGCATTAAGAAAACTTTATGTTCCCCAAATCGGCTTAGGAGAATTTCCCAAGAAACTTTCCCTTTAGAAAAAAACTTCTGCCATCCATACATGCATAAATCTCCAATCGAACTCTCCCACACCTCTCACAGCTCTCACCGACCTCTCACCTCCTGGCTGGTGGTTAAATCTCTGGCACCAGAATGGGGGGGGGGGACAGCAGGGAGCAGGAAGAAGCAGCTAGCCATGGGGGGGGATCAAAGTCATGGTGTTTCAGTGAGCAAGCCCTATCAGAGCCCTTATCAGGAGCTTTATGGCACTGAATTGTTTTCAGTAAACATGTTTTCAGTAAACATTGTCTCACGCATCTGCCTGCTCCCAGGCTGATGCAGGGGTGGGTTTCTGAACAAGGTCTGGTGTCCCCACACACACCCACGACAGACAAGCCTAAACTATGCTTTTCTTACAAGTCAGTCGGTGCTAGGCAGTCAAGACAGTTCAGCTCAGTGGGTAAAGGCGTTTGCTGCCAAGTCTTGGGACCTGAATCTGATCTCTTAGGCATACATATAATGCAAAGAGAGAAATTATTCCCACAAATAGATGATGGCAAGGCCCTACTGACAGAGGCAACACCTACACTACTCATTAAACACAGAGAAGGTGATATGGTGTCTACCTGGAGCCTTCACCCCTACTGAATAGTGTACTGGAAGGTACTCTGCATGCCACCAAAGGTGAGAGTTAAACCCCAACCTAACTGCGAACCTTTCAATCTACAAAAGTCACCTGCCTGCAAGATACGCTGGTGCACTGGGGACACAAAGCTGTGGGAGCACCAACCAATATCTGATGTAAGGCCCATTTGCAGGTGGAACACACACCCAACATTGCTCGGGTGGTCAAGAATATCAGACTAGGCAGGCCATCAACCTAGGAGAAAACCAAATGCTACTGTCCGGCCAAAGGAATGTAGCAAGAAAATGACTCCTAATGACGTTCTTCCATACCCATAGCCATCATCAGAGAAGCTTCCTTCTGCAGCAGGCGGGAACAACTAGACACCCACAGCCAGACAACATGCAGAGAGTAAGGATACTTTGGAACACTCAGCCCTAATGGGATGTCTCCATCAAATCCTTCCCTGCAGGGCTCAGGGAACCCTTCAGAAAAGGAGGCAAAAAAAAAAAAAAAAAAAAAGAATGAAAGAACCAGAGGAGTTGGAGGATACCAGGGAATCAAGGCCTGCTAGACACAGCAGAGCTGGTGCACATATGAACTCACAGAGACTGTAACAGCATGCATACCCTGCATGGGTCCTAGACCAGAAAGGAGAAAGGACACATTCCTTCCCTAACCCAGAAGCTATCTCCAATTGATAGCCATTTCAAATGAAGTATTTGTTTTCTTCAAGGGAGGCTCACTGGGGAAACAAACCACTTTTAAAAAGAAGCCCCATACCCAGCGGCAGATGTCAGCACAAAACAAACCCAATAGCATCTTTGGGGGCGAGGGTTGTCTCTTAAAATCAGAGCATGTGTGTGTGCCTGTGTGTAAGTGCAGAGTGTGTGTGTGTGTGTGTGTGTGTGTGTGTGTGTGTGTGTGTGTGTCCTTCAGGTCCTTTGTGTGTACATTTTGGCTTCCAGCTTTGGGTTTTTATGGGATTCCTGACTGTTCCAACATGTGTGTCTCTGCATCAGTGTGTTCCTTATGCTCTCTCTTTGGCTTTTGTTTGTTTGGTTGGTTTGTCCTATTCCAATTTGTTCATTTTTATCTTTTATTTTTTATTATTATTCATCAGATACCTTTTTGTATTCTAAAAAGAAACAGAAAAGGTGTGGATCCAATGGGAGGGGAGGTGGGAAGAATTGGGGAAAGGGACACTGTAATCACAATATATTATATGAAAAAATCTATTTTCATTAAAAGAAAAAAGATAATGAAGGGTCCAGAAATAGGAATACAGAAATGAAGGATCCAGGAATATAGAAATATAAAATTGTAAGCCCAAACACATTTTGAAAAAAAAAAAAGAAGCTGGCAGCCCCTGTTAACCTTTAACAACCTTAAGAGAAGACAGCCTGGCAGCCACTGTACAGAGGTAAACTTTTAACAATGGTCTCCCGCCTCCCAGCTTCCCAGCTAGGCAGGTAGGCAAAGATTATTTTCTAAGTATTGCCTCTATGGGACCCTCTGTGTTGTACTCCCTTAATTTTAACTGTCCTCCTAAGTGACTCTTCTCTTTACCTTGCATTCTTTCAGGGACAGGGAAAAGCAGCTGTGTCAGCCACAGGCTTTCACAAACATTCTAAGTCAACATGCTATAACCAAAGTTGTAAAACTAAAAACTGTGACTTTATGCCAGAACTCAAGGCTATAAAAGCTCTTTAACCCACATCTGGTGCTTGATTTTACTGTAAGAGGCCCAAAATCAGCCCCCATTGCCACAGTGTGAGAAGCTGATCTCTGACTGATCTCAGCTAGAGCTGAAAAGCTTTTGGGCCCTACAGTGTGATTTTTTGCTTGTTTGTTTGTTTGTAACAAAGTTTGCTTCTGTTTCAGGTTGTCTGTTCCCCCATTATTTGTACCCCCAGACCCAACAATAATCATGTCACTAATAAATATCATTGTCTTGCACTGTCTGGACATCCCACCCTGTGTGTGTGTGTGTGTGTGTAGGTGTGTAACTTCTATACCAGTTCATCTTTGGTTACAGACAGACTCACACATGATAACTCACCGTTTTAGCAGTCTATTGTAAAACATTTGCAAGAATGCTCTGCATTTTACCTCTCCCACTTCACAACTGAAGTCACAATTTACAACTACTCTGGTAATGTGTTCATTAACATTATGTAACCACAATTTTTAATACTTTTGTCCTTTGATTTTTATGGGATGACAATTAACTTACTAACCAGCTCCAGTAATAAAGAATTGTTTCACCGGACATTTAATCCCAACACTTGGGAGGCAGAGGCAGTCGGATCTCTGTGAGTTCAAAACCAGCCTGTTCTACATGTGAGTTTCAGGACAGCCAGGGGTACACAGAGTAACCCTCTCTCAGAAACACTACTAAATAAATAAATAATAAAAATAATTATTTCTTGTGTGTATATGTTTTTTAAATGCTTGCTGGCCTATCACTCCCCTGCATAGAAGGGAAATGCATCTCTCACCCCAGGGACTTTTGCTGCTATCTGGATCCATCTGGGTTGTCATCAGTTACAGTGGGGGGAAAGGGTGTTGTGTACTCCATCTGGTAGCAGAGGCCAGAGAAGGTTTCGATACCCACAACACACAGGCAGCCCCATGACAAAGCAACCCCATCCCAAAACATCACTAGTACCAAGGAGGGGAACCTGTTCTGGACCCGTCACTTGGCACCTGCTCTCCCCCAAAGTGAGGTCCATGATAGTTTCCTAAGCTTCTTTACTCTAGACTATGAAGGTGACAATAGAAGACCTTGTCCTTGCAAGGAGGTCTTCACCCCACCCCCAAGACGTTTCTGTCATCCACTTGCCTGTGATCATGAGTATGCTGTTCGTGGTACCGGGCCAAGCTAAGGCTGTCTAGTCAGGTTCTAGGGACTAGCCAGTTCTTACATTGGTTCTGAGATCACAAGCCAGCCAAGCCAAACCCAGAAAAACAGCTTTAATTCTATAATCCAGCCTCCTGTGGGGCTCACGGCACCACTGCAAGACAAGGAAAAGCGGAACGGCTCCATCTTCTTGGCTCTGCAAAGCCCCAGTGCTCCACCCTCCTTCCTGAGCCAGCCTAGCCGAGCAAAGCAAACTGCCCTTGAGTTCAGGGTCTGAATGTCTCCAGAGCCCGGGATCCCAAATCTGTAAGCTACTTTTCTCCCCCTCTCTCCCTCTCCATCCAGTTCTCCTTTTCCTGGCTCCGGGGCCCCATGGCGCAGAAATACACAGCCTCGTCCTCGGGCTGCAGTTCAGAGATGCTCAGGTACCCCAGGTTCCGGGCCGTGTCTTTGGATCCGGAGAAGCGAGGGGGTATGTTGGGCCCCTGGTGCTTGTCTGAACGTGAGAAATGTCTCAGCAGGAATCTGGGAGGGTGGCCTGGCCTCTGCTGGTACCAGTAAATGCTGTAAATGTTGATGTTATGGTTGCTGCCCAGGGCGCAGGAGAGGCGGATGGTGGTTCCAAGCCAGGAAGACGCAGATGGTGGCTGATGCAGGATGGGCTGGGGGCCACAACCTGGGAAGAAGACAGAAGCGAGCCCATCATCAGGGCAGAGCAAGGCAAGAGGAGGGGCAAGGAGGCTCTGGGCCCCAAGAGTTTCCTTACCTGTGAGGTGGGCCAGCAGCATGAGCAGGACAGAAGTCCAGGCCATGGCTTGAGACCTGCTGCAGCTCCTGAGGCCCTTGCCAGCTGGGAAACACTCTCCTCCCTGCTTTGAGAAGAGGGTCATTGTACCCCTGGTTCCCGTTCACCACCCTACCAGGCTTTCTGGGCTCTGCAGCGTCACTTACCAGAATGGTCTGATGGTAGCCTTTGGTCTTTGTCCGTGGAAGCGTGCAAGGAGGAAGCACCTGCTAGAAAGTCGTGGACCAGAGCCAGGAGCTGGCTGGTGGGCTCATCTCCCTGAGGGGGAGTGACCTCAACTCTCCCCTGAGAAGCTGAGCCCTGCGGAAACAAATTTCTTGTTCACGTTTAAATGCCTGGTGAACTGGGGCGAGAGAGAGAGGATGCATCCTCAGGCCTGTAAAAGCATCTCTTCACACAGCAAGAAACGGGGGACCTCAGGAGTGGGGTGCTCTGACCCCTTCTAAGCTCTGAAGAGCCTCCAACTGGGTCTTTCTTTCCCTCCTTAAACAAAGTCAGGTAATGAGACTTCAAAAAAGAAGCAACAGAGATCATAATGGCATCGATAAAGGGAGGGGCTGTTCTTTTGAATATCTTCACTCCTGCCAGGATGTTACAATGATAATTTAAAGACAGACACCTGTGCTATTAAACTATTGTCCCCAAGAATTAAAATTCTCCCAGGAATCTCATTATGGAAGAGGGGAAAGGCTGAAGACTTGGAGCCAGCCACTGAAGGCACTTGTCTCTGAGGAAGAGATTTCATTCAATACTGACAACTTATCAGATCACTATGGGACAATGATGGGTAGATTTTGGGCAAGACCACGCCTTCGAATTAAATAAATAATAAATAAAAAGGAAGAGAAAGGACATGTTTGCTCCTAGGTATGGTGGAGGAAAATGTCTATCTTAGAAAAAAGGGAGAGCATAGCCAGAGGCAGGGACATCTAGTAAAGTCCAGAGTGGACATGACCAGACTGAGCTGGGCCATGAGGAGGAGGGAAGGGAGAGGGAAGAGAGGAACCAGGTACAGCAGCCAGGAGGCCAAAAGTACAAGGGGGCAAGTAACCAAAATGTCTAGATTATATAGGGAAGAGCCTCTGTGGGAAGAGCAGCCTGGCCTACAGAGTTCAGAATAGAGGGCAGGAGTATGCCAGTAGGTAGGGATGCTGAGAGAGCCCCGGGGCCAGGGCTGCTTTGATATGTTAAATAGGCACCTCAGCCATTTGTTCTGGGTTTGAACTTAACAACCTTGACCATGACTGTAGGGAAAAAGGGCCAGTCAAAGGGCCACACCCTGAGCAAAGGCAAAGAAACACACTTTGGCCCTGCAACCAGAACCAAAGAAATGCACCCTGGCCCTGAAACCAGTGTCAAAGAAACACACTTTGTCCCTGAAAGCAGAGCCAAATCTGACCCTTGTGCAGAAAACTAACCAATCCCTGAGCAGGAGATCTAACCATCCTAAACTCAGCGATTGAAATCTGACCAGTCCCCACCCTGGAAATCTCCCTGGAAAAACTGCACCCCCTAAGAATCCCTATATAAGCCCTGTGCCTGTTCAGCTTCCGGCTGTTCCGGCTTACTGGCTGTCCTACCTCCACCCTGGCAGAGGCAGCCCCTCTCCTGGATTCTTCCCTACCAATAAATCTCTTCAATGAGGTTTAGGTGAGACCTTATTCAAGAACTCATACAGCGGAGCAGAGCTCATACATTTTTGCTGGGGAAACCTTCCCCTGGCAGAGTGCAGTTGTTAAACTCTGCTCTCCACTCTCGGGGCACTGAAGTCTGTAACAACTTCGGCAGGGAAACCCTCTCCAGCTGGAGCAGAGCTGACACACTGGGGAAGCCTTCACTGAAACTGGGCTGTAAGCTGCCATGATTACTGTGACCTGTGGTATTCCTTAGCTCCCAAACTCCAGATATCTTTCCATCGAAGCCGTAACAGTATTCTGTGACTTCCAAGTGCCAGAATATCTGTCCTATCCAATCCCCCCAAACACTTACAATGGTTGTGTATTAAGTGTACCTTTTGCTCTCTACTTAAGCCTAAGCCTCATGTCAGGACCCCAGAAACTTGTGGGGAGAATCACCAGATCTCTTTAGTGGTTCCTTACCACATGTGGGCACATTGAATACACCTCCTTTCTATGATTTTTATTATTACTTACATCTTTATTTTTATTTCATGTGCACATGGCCAGCATGGCAGTCAGTGTCTTTACAGCTGAGCCATCTTGCAGTCATCTTAGTTGTCTCTTTAACTGATATATTGAGGATGAGTACCCAACCCGAGCTAGCTTTTTGGAACTGTCAGGGCCCAGTCATAGTAATAGAGTGATGTTTTAAAACCGGGAGGATTGTTGTTCTTGTTTGTTTTGTTTTTGTTTTTTGACAGGGTTTCCCTGTATTGCCCAGGCTGGCCTTGAACTCACACAAACCTGCCTGCCTCTGCCTCTCAAATTATGGGATTAAAGGTTATGTGTCACTACACTGGTCTATTAAAAACAAAATGTTAATAAAGTCATGAAAACTATTTTAAAACTTTTGTGATCCTAACACTCTAAAAAACATTTTTGTGCATCGTCTTCCAGATATATTAACACAAATGGTACTGTCTACAAAATTTTAAATGAGGTTTGGCTTGGTTTGGTTTGTATACCCTGTAGTCCAGGCTGGAATGAAACTCACTGTGTAGCTGTGATTGGCCTCTGACTCTCCCCTTCAGCCTCCTGATTGCTGGAATCCTGCTGTGAGTCACCATCCTTGACTCTCAAATGTTTCTAACTCTGAAAGAAGCCTGCTGTCTGTAATTTTAAGTATTAATAGCATCTGTTTTCATAATCATAATGACAATCATCATCGTTTTCTCTGGATGATTTTTGCGAGACTCCCCCTCCAGGATGCAGGATGCAGGGAGAAGGGACACAGTGGAGGCTTGGGGAACTCCAGCTGCACCAAACCGGACGCAGACGGCTGGGCACCCGGAACTCAGCAGCCTCGGAACTCGCAGACACCGAAATGTCGACATCGGAGAGCAGAAGAGGAGACGCCACAAGCGGACAGAGCCGGAAGTGGATTCGCGAGTGGCCACCGGGAGAGCCCGGCCGGAGCGAGAGTGGCAGCGACACAGCGGGTGAGCGGTGGGCTGCTGGCTGCCCGAGGAAGCGGAAGACGCTGGCTTTCCTCTTGCATTTCCGGAATAAAAGGGGAGCGCAGACCGGGGTGGGAGAGCGGGGGAGGGTTCCTGCCCCGCGCCGCTTTCTCCCCGCGCCGCCCCGCCCCGCCCCCGCGGTGGGGTTCCGGGCACTTAGCGGGCGACTGTGGCTTCCCCACCGAGCTCCCCGCGGCCCCGAGGTGAGGTGTTTCCCCGATTCACGGGAGGGAAACAGGCTCCGGAAAGCCGTGCTGCCGCCGAGGCCCGCACTCGGCGTTCGCAGCCGAGGGTTCCACTCGCTTGCCTCCCGGAGCTTGCTCCTTCTTGAGACCGCGGCCGTTCTCTGACTTGGAGGAAATTTGGGTGAACCCGTGAACTAGAATCGAGGGCCAGCAACTTATGCATGGGTGAAAGGGAAGACGGTGACTCCTCTTCACATGTTTGTTTGTCGGACGTGAGAAACCTGAACAGTCAGGGTTTGATAGCTGGAGAAGCCAAAAAAAAAAGTTTGCCAAGGTTCCTTGTCACTAGTCTGAATTGTTACCAACTACAATTTACTCTGGCTTGCAAAACTTCTGCTAGTGAGATGGCTCAGCACCCTTGCCACCAAACTTGACAGCCGGATTTCAATCCCCTGCAACCCACGTGGTGAAAAAAAAAAAAAAAGCTTTGAGTCCCACAAGTTGTCCTCTGACCTCTACTTGTGACCTGCGGCATGTGTGCACCCATACATGTACACACACATAAAATAAATGTTTTAATTTTTTTATTTAACTCCTATTTTACACAGATGTTGGTAGATAGAGCTGTGGCATGCTCGATACAGAGAAGGGGTTTAAGAGGTATGCCTCTTTTCCTGGGGCTGTAGGTGCTTAAGAATCACTGGAGACTTTGGATGCTTTGCTGACCCCTTTCGGGCTTCCTCTTCAAGTTAAATCTACTACGTAAAGACACCCAGAAGGAAATGCCCATATCTACAATGTCTCCCAAAGGACACAGTGATGGTGGCATTGCCAGTGAGATTTAGCAAGGTATAAACAGACTGTCTTGCTATTCTCTCTTTGCAGTCAACACCTAAATTAAATAGCACTTACTTACTCCAGAAGAGGGCAAACTGTAGTCTCAGAGCCTTGGCAAGCAAGATCAAACGTGGTGTATCATGCAGGTTTATGTTACAGAGTCTACTTTATATATTTACGTGATCCTGTAGAAAAATCTTAGCTAGACATTTTGGTATACGCTCAACTCCAGCTCTTGGGAGTTAAAGGCAAGAAGGTCAATAATTCAAAGCCATCCTTGGCTACATAGTGAATTTGAGGCCAGCTTTGGCTACACAGGGCTCTGTCTCAATGCCCAAACTCTTTGCACATACACACACACACACACACACACACACACACACACACAGCAAAAACTTAAGTGAATACTAATTCCAGGGTGTGACTGTGGTATATAGAGATGCTTATAAGCCATCAAATTCAGGTTTTCTCATTGATTTCATTTTAAAATGGAAGATGTGCCTTAATAGAGAATAAGGAGGACTTGAGATTCATCATAATTACATCTGCAGAGATCTTTTTTAAAAGGTAGAATTTGGTCTGGGGAAAGGAAAGTGTTCTGGACTAAAAGTAAGAAAACTTAAATTCCTTTCCTGGATGGATGGATGGATGGATGGATGGATGGATGGATGGATGGATGGATGGGATAATTCCAGTTATATTCCTTTCCCTGTATAAATGACATAATCCCTGCTGAGGCAGAATGTTTGTGTCTGAAGGGACTTGGCAGTCTGTTCGGTAACCTAGAATCTCTGATTGCAGATGAGAGGTAGAGATACAGAGTTCCCAGAGCCTGGAAACCATGGGAGAAGTGCATGTAGGAGCAGAAGTGTTTGCAGTACTCTATAGTTAAAGTCAGGTGCTCCTGTGCTGTTTTATGTGATGAGGCCTCACTTTGCAGCCCTAGCTGTCCTGGAACTCAATATATAGTCTAGGCTGGCCTCAAACTCACTAAGAGATATGTCTGCCTCTGCTTCCTACCATGACCTGCCTAAAGTAGTTTTGGCTTTGGTTTTTATTTTGGGTTTTTTTGGGAGGGTATTTTTGTTTATTATTATTTTAAGAATCTGTAAGCATTTTATTTGTGTTACAGGTAAAGTTTTCTCATGTATTCAAACATCATCAGTGGTGTTTGCTCACTGACCACTACTTCCCATTAGAGTGAGCAAAGGAAAGCCTCTGCTCTCCCGTAGCTTATGCTCTAGGAGCTGTAATACAAGAGCCTGGTAGAACCCACATCAGGCTTGGTAGTAAGTGCTGCAGGGCAGTACAGCAGAGACTTTCTCAGAGGCAGCAGGTTTAAAATCTTAGAGTACAGGCTCTGGAGCAAATGGCCAGGGCAAATCCACATCCTGCCACTGCAGCTCCAGTATGACCCACATTCCCACTATACAGCAATATAATGCAATGTCCCATCCCAGCAACAATGGCAGGACTTCCAGTACCTGGTGCTTTCTTTGGAAGAGACAGGAAACTCAAAATCCTACATAGAACAGCCTCTTCCTGCTTCCACTTTTCCTTTCTGGCCTCTGGCATTTCTGTATGAGAGAGAGGAAGTCCTTATGTCTCTTTAAATTTCACTTTGGGCCTTGGCTGTGGTTAAGCCAAAACTTGCCCGGAATGGGTATCAGAGGCATGGCTGTTCCACACATTTGTTCATTGCTCCAACAAACAGTCATTGTGTTTTCAGTGCCAAAGATAGTAACCTTGACATGATCCATGAAGAGACGGACCTGTGGTGTGCGAGTATGGTTTTCATGGGGAAATGGGTCAGGGAGTCAGAGCAAGTACATTTTTGAAGAGCTTGGCTCTTTTTCCTCTGAGATTGTTTATTTGGTGAAAACATGCAAATTTTTATTTGGGGTAAGTTTTATGTCTTTATGGCCCTACCGCAATGACTATGACGGCCCATGCTAACTTTGACTTCAGCTACTTCCATGAATCATAAGGAGTAACAGAAACCTCATTAGTAGAAACAGAAACTGCTTTAGTGATGTTTTCATTGGCATCTTCATTGTTTCTGAACAGTGCTCTCTGTAGCCCTCGGTATTCTAAAGTCTGTTGTCGTCGTTCTCTTTGATCAGTCATATCCATCCATGGCACAAAATTTTTCAATACAGAAGGGATGTGACAAGTTGGAGCCACTCCACTCCCAGACGCTTACACCCTCCCCAGCAACTGCTTCTGAGCTGTATGTAGATGCATCTTCCTTTTGTAAACGAGTATGTGTGTGGTGATACGTTGTTTATGATTTATTAAAGCCACTGTCGATCAAGATAGCAGTCATGCTAGTTGGTCATAGAAGCCAGGCAGTGATGATACACACCTTTAATCCCAGGACTCAGGAGACAAAGGCAGATGGATCTCTCTTGAGTTCAAGGCCACCTAGCGCTACACTAAAAGAGAAACAGAGCTCATGCTTTTGATCCCAGCACTTGGGATCACACACCTTTAATCCCAGCCCTAACAAAGTGGAAACTGGAGTGATATGGCTGGGTGGAGAACGGACTATAAGGAGGAAGAGACAGGAACTGAGAGTCTTTTGCTTCTGAGGAGTTGTGAAGACAGGATTGCCATTTCAGCTGGGTAGAGGTAAGATCTACTGGCTTGGCTGCTTTGCTTCTCTGGTCTTCAGCTTGAAGCTTGAACCCCAGTATCTGTTTCTGGGTCTCTTATTAATTGTGCAGCAAATGTGTACACATGGGGGGGGTAGTGCATGTAAGTATAGTGCCCATAGAGGCCAAAAGGCAGCACCAGATCCCCTGAAACTGGAGCCACCCAGTGGGTGCTGGGAGCCACACTCTAGTCCTTTGCAGGAGTAGTACGCACTGTTGAATCATCTCTCCAGCAAAATTCTAATTTTCTTTAACTGTTCCGAAAAATAAGAAAACAGTGCACTTGACCGCAACTGTGAGCAAAATATATGAGCAGCTATAAGAAAACAGAAAAAAAGAAACGTTTTTATGTTTGCAAGTGTGCCGCCCTTGTAGGCAGAGGTCAGGGTTAGGGTTTAAACTTTGTGCATGCTGCCACAGTCCCTGTGAGTCCATGTGTGCATCAGTCCTGTTGTGTCTGAGAAGCACTTTACTTGGACCCTTCAATCCTCTGACTCTTAAAATCTTTCTGCCTCTTCCACATGACTCCCTGAGCCCTGAGGAGAGGGGTTTCATAAAGACATCCCATTTAGATCTAAGTGTCTCACTCTCTGCACATTGTCCTACTGTGAGTCTCTATGTTGGTTCTCATCTACTGAGCAAGGCACCGAATCTGGATATAGAAGAATGTCCTATAGCAGAACAATAGTATTTGATTTTGCCCTGGGCCCCTGAACTATCTGATAGCAGGTTCTTGACTATTTTAGCACAGTCGGGTTATGGGTTCCATCTCATGGAATGGGCCTTAAATCCAATCAGGAAGTTGTTGGTTACAGCCATAACATTTGCGCCACTATTGTACCAATATAACTTGCAAGTTTCTGTTGTAGGTCACAGAGATTGTAGCTGAGCGATATTGATAATTACCTTTTTCCTCTGGTAGCATGCAGAGTACTTTGCAATACCGTGAATGCTAGTCAGTAGGGGCTTCAGCTCAACTTCTCTATGTTTGGTGGCATATTTAAGTGTTCTCTTAATAGCCTTGACAACAGCCTGATAAGTTTGGGGGCTTCCAGGGAGCCCCTTTGGCCCACTCAGAAGATGTAACTCATTTCCTGGCACTGGAGGTTTTACTTGGTGGCATAAGATGTCTAGTTGGAGTATTGTCTCCACCATTTAGATTCCTTTCATATATGATTATGTTTTAGGAAGATTCAACAGGAGTAAGTTTACATATGGTTTCCCAAATGGCTTTTAGTATTAGTTGTCCTTCCTCATTTTCCTTCCTTTATCTTTCTGTCCCCTTCCCTATTTAATCCTTCTATTCTAGTTTCCTCTTCATCTCTCGCTAACAATGTACTCTATTTCCCTTTCCTTGGGAAATCCTGTCCTCTCTGCTAGTCCAAATATGTTTTTTTTAATTGGGTAAAATTACAATTTGATTGTTGAGTGTGGCTTGCAAAATGATGTGGGTAATAAGGTAGATGTAAGGCTGGATATGAAGAGCTTGCTGTGTTCTGATGGGGACTGCACTCTGCAATTAGTGGGTCTCAGGCCATATGATAGGCTACATAGGGCCTGACCTGGCCTAGCCGTCTGCATTGGGCAACATGTATCCCTAGGTAGATGAAGTGCCTCCCTTGACCTAGAAACCAGTAATTCCTCTGCCATTTAAGATAGGAGTTCACAGCTTGGCATCCATACCCTGCCCTAACCTATGAATCTATGTCCATAGTTCCAGCATCTTTCTAGGTATGAGTTTAGCAGCAAACTCATACTCCAGCTTTTTTTAGCCTAAGCAGTTGGTTGTAGGCCAGATGTTCTCCAGTATTCCCGGGTTTTCTTTTTCTTGTCCCCAGCTTTCATTTATTTGATTTCATTAGGACTGGAGTACAGCTAAGTGGTGAAGTACTTCCTTAGCATATTGGGTATCATCTCCAGCACCAACGTAAGAAAGAAAAGTTCTATCCACTTAGCCATCTTGCCAATCCAGTCATTACCAGATGTGAATGATACCTTCTAATGGATTTCATCATGACATTTTCATCATGAATTATTTTCATTACATTCATGACTGATGGCCCTTTCTGCCCCGTTCTCTGTGATTCCCTTCTTCCCAACTTGATGCCCTCTACTTTCATGTTCCCCTTGTGGATGACCCAGTGAGTTTCACTAGGTTATTTACAGGGTCCTGCACACATCACCAGTGGCTACACCATTGAAGAAAGTGTTTTGCTTCCCTCAGCAGCTACTGGCTGCATTTAGACCCTGCCTGGAAGAAAGCATCCCACAACACTTGACCCTTCCTCTAGCTCACACCCTCTCCCTGCCCTGAGCACTGGAGGAGTTGAGATAAATGCACTGTCTTTTCTTCCTTCAGGAGTCAGCTCTGACAGTTGTGTGGAGCTGCAGAGGAGTCGTCTCTAAGCTTTTTCACAGTCTGTGGGCCCTGAGAGCCTGGAGCAGGAATGAAGACCGTGCTCATGGTAGCAGAAAAGCCGTCTCTGGCACAGTCCATCGCCAAAATCCTCTCCCGAGGTAAGAGAAAAAAATGCTAGGATGCTTGACTGCTTTAATCTGCAAGCACAATCACTCGTGCTTTTTAAGGCATTTCTTTTCCCAAAAGTGTGCCTCCACCACATGGTAGGTTCAGGCAGGAGCGACAGGTTTTTAAGAAACACCTCAGTAGCAAATCTGCTATGACATGCTGTGTCCACTTGTGGAGGGAGTACCAGGGCTGACACCTCCAGAAAAAACAATAAAGTAGAAGGTCAGTGTTTGTCAGCATGCTAGACCAGTGAGGGGCATTGGGCATAAGCACAAGAAACAATCCTGGAAGGAGGTAGTGAGGCTAAGTCTTGGCTTTTGCACCACTAGATACTCACTGCTGCCTACTGGACCCTTGATGTAGTTATGGTTACATCCTCTATATCTCATATCGCTCACAAGTGGCCAGGAACCTAAGAGCCAGGAAAGCAGAGAAAGATTTGCCCACCAGGATCCTCTCTGCCGCTGAGGCATCACATAGGGGGTGTTTCCCTCTAAATAGGAAGAGCACTGGGGTGCTGGGTGAGTACCCAGCAATGGCAGATATGCACCTTGACCTCCTTTTTGCCAACAGTTGGAAAAGGAAGAGCCCCTAGTTAAGCTGAGAATACATCCAAAGTTCCAGAGGGGTACAGAAGGCATCATCTTATCTCCAAGTACCAGGAATGTTCAGCTGAGGGAACATATTGTAGGATATGATAATTAGGAGGTTTCTGATAACCTTAAGATCTAAATAAATGAAGGTAGAATTCAAATTGAAAAGAGAAAACAGAAATGCAGTGAGAATCCAAGAGTCTCTGCCTCGAGTTCCCAGCCAATATGTGACTCTGGTGTGAGCCACTGTTAGATTTTCATAGATGCCTTTGTCCTTGAGCAGCGTAAGTCACCTAGTACCTAGTTAACTGAAGTGGGCTGACTCTTGTCCTCTGAGAGTCAGATTGTTGGCTCAGGGACCCACAGCATCTACAGCTCAGCCTCACGGTTTTCTGTGTGCTCTGCCTCCCCAGGGAACATGTCCTCACACAAAGGGCTGAATGGGGCATGTTCAGTGCACAAGTACACAGGAACCTTTGCTGGCCAACCTGTCCACTTCAAGATGACATCTGTCTGTGGTCATGTGATGACCCTGGATTTTCTGGGTAAGATAACCACTCTCCTCCTGCCCGTCCTATTGAAAGGAGCACTGTACAGCATGACCAGGGTCCAGTTAGAGCCTGTTTCCAACAGGTCATGAAGTGGTTAGCAACTGGGTAAGCTACCCATACCCGTCTCTGCATGATGCGCCCTGCCGTATTCATAGGGTTGTGACAACTGCAGAAGCTGAGCCTTCGTGAACTGTGAAGTGTGATTCAGTGTCTTCATGGGTATGGTTTACAGGAAAGTACAACAAATGGGATAAGGTGGATCCTGCAGAGCTATTCAGCCAAGCTCCAACAGAGAAAAAGGAAGCTAACCCCAAGCTGAACATGGTCAAGTTCCTGCAGGTATGTGAGGGGTGTGAGCTCACCAAGTCACCCCTCCCAGATTCCCATGTCATAGGTGGCAGCAGCTGTCTTGTTGTACCATTGTTCCTGTTGCACCGTATGTGTGCCCTCATCCACATCTTGGATACTGAGGCTCTTGCTGGCAGCCCTGGGCCCATCTTTACCCTTTCTATGAGTACTCTCTGCTGGCCCACCTGGCACTTCCATGCCTGGTTCCCTGTCCCAGTCATCAGACATCTGCTTTTATAGTGGCTCAATTAAGGGGCTTTCCCAATTTTAAAATAAATATGTACAGGCTGGAGAGATGGCTCAGAAGAACGCTAGCTGCTCTTCCAGAGGTCTCGAGTTCAATACCCGGTTGGTGGTTCACAACCATCTACAATGAGATCTGGTGCCCTCTTCTGGTGTGCAGGAATACACACCAGCAGAACACTGTACACATAATAAATAAATCTTTTAAAAATAAGTAAATAAACGTGTACATATTAAAAAACTGGAAAATAAAGATAAGTTTAAAAAAGGAAAAAAATATGGCCACATGACCCAAAATAACCACTGCTAATGTTTAAGTGTTTCATTTCAGCTCTTTGTTTAGGTCGGGGCCTTCAGGTCATATTGTAGGAGAGAAAGGGGGTAATGAAAAAGGATGAGGACAAGAAAAAATAATGGGGTTGAGTATAATTGAAGTTTATTATATATGTGCTTGAAAAATATTAAAAATAAAGCCTTCAGTAAAACCACTTTAATCTTTTATTTCCCTCTGAAAATTATGGAGCACATAGGGTATTTTGTGACCACATAATAAAAGTAAAACTATTTTTAAGTACCTGTCATGGGGGCTGGAGAGATGGCTCAGTAGGTAAGAGCACCTGCTTCTCAAACATGAGGACCTGAGTTTGAATCCCAGCACCCATGGTGAATGCTTGGAGGGCAGAGACAGGAGGATCGCTGGGGCTTGCTAGCCAGCCACACACCTCCAGGGCCAGTGGGAAACCTTGACATAAGGGGATAAGACAGAATGATAGAGCAAAGAACCCCACAATGTCCTCTGGCTTCTGCCAGCAGGCTTACACACCTGCACAACCGTGTACACACACCACACCACATGCAGAAGGACAGATCATATTGTAATTATAATTTTTTGATCTAATGATATGATAGTTCTTAACCAAAATCTTTTCTGGGTTCTAAGACAGCCTCTTGCTCAGCCCAGGTTCAGTCCTCTGACTGGAAGCAGAGTACCTGGTTCCATCTCCTGTCCCCAGAGGGGACTGTCACAGACCTGATTGACAATGTGCTTTGTGGCAGGTGGAGGGCAAAGGCTGTGACTACATTGTGCTGTGGCTGGACTGTGACAAGGAAGGCGAGAATATTTGCTTTGAGGTGAGTGAGTGTGGGGCCCGCTCTGGTCCCCTTTAGACCTTTTCCCACCTTTCCTAACTTGAGTTTGTTACACTCTTCCTGAGGCTACCGTAGGAATAGAGTGGCTCTTCAAAGTCTTCTCCCACTCCCTCTATTTCAGAAAACCCATAGCTACTTTAAAATGCATAGTCCTAGGGCTGGAGAGATGGCTCAGCGCTTAAGAGCATTTGTTGCTCTTACAAAGGACCCAGGTTTACAACCATCTGTAACTCCCAGTTCCAGGGCATCTGATGCCCTTTTTGACCTCTCAGGGCACCAAGCATACATGTGGGGCACATACGCATAGGCAAAGCACTCATAAAGTGGAATAAGTCTTCTTAAAATTGTTTTAACGTATTAACTAAGGCCAACAAGATGGCTCATCAGGTGAAGGTGCTTGCCACCAACTCTGACAACCTGAGTTCAATTCCCAGAACCCCACATAGTGGGAGAAAGCCAACACATGAAAGTTGTCCTCTGACCTCTACACTTAGACTACAGCATATGCACACACCAATAATAATTCATTATTAATTTCATCATCATTATCTTTATTTTTTTTAAGCCCCATTCTGGGTGGTTACAAGTTTCAGATTTTTCAGTGTTTGGCTAGCTCCATGCCTGTTGCAGACCTTCAGTTGCTGTACGAAAAGAGTATCTGATTCCCCAGAACTGGAGTTACACATGGTTGTAAACCCAAGTACGTAGTGCTCTCTCTCTCTGTCTCTCGGTCTGTCTCTCTTCCTCCCTTCCTCCTTCCCTCCCCCCCCTTACACACACACACACACACACACACACACACACACACACAGCCTGAAGTGGCCTTCTTTTCCTTCTCTGTCTTTTCTCCAGTCATGTAAAAAGTCTGCCTATCCATCCAAGCACTCTCTACTCCCAGGAAAGGGAAGGGATTTGGGGCCACGAGGTCCTGAGTGTGCTTGGCACTGGCACTCACTAGTTGGTCTGGTTAAAAGCACGAGAAGTGAAAGGGTAGCAGCTGTGAGGCAACACTAAGAAAGGAACTGGGCTGAGGGGAGATGTCTTATCTGGAAATGTGTACAACCAGAGAGACAGCCAGGTGGCAAGGGATTTGTGCGGAGGCCGAAATGTCTAGAAGGACGAAGGGATATAGGAGGGCCTAATATGGATGGGGGAAAGTTAACCCTGGAAGGGGGCCAGCCCAACAGTGGGGGGAAAGAGTGAGAGGCAGGGATGTGGGAATTAACCACAGCCAGTGTTCTTCCTCCAGGTCCTTGATGCCGTTCTGCCTGTCATGAATAATGCCCACAGTGGTGAGAAGATTGTGTTCCGGGCCAGGTTCAGTTCCATCACTGACACGGACATCTGCAATGCCATGACCCGCCTGAGTGAGCCAGACCACAATGAGGCACTCTCAGTGGATGCCCGCCAGGAGCTAGACCTGCGCATCGGCTGCGCGTTCACCAGGTGCTGGTTCCTGCCACGTGCACATACTGTGCCTTTAGCCAGGATACTGCCTTTCCTGCAGCCCTCAGAGCCCGCATAAGCTGCCAGATGCCTTTTTTTAAAACCTCAAGAAAATTACATGTTTATCAGATGCATATCACAGAGGCCACAGCTTCATAAGCAGATGATTGGTGTGTACTCTACCCCACTCGATCCTGTGTGTACAGCATGAACATCCTGTTGGTGTTTGATGACTTCCGGCTCTGTCACTTTTGCTGTCTTCTGAGTGAGGAGGGTCTTCCTTACGTGCCCTTTCTACACGTACCCCTCAAGTTAGATTTGCATGAGATTTGTCTGGAATGAATTATTGATCGCCATTTTTCTCTCTTCCCCAACCCTCTAGGTTCCAAACAAAGTATTTCCAGGGAAAATATGGAGATTTAGACAGTTCTCTCATCTCCTTTGGACCATGTCAGACTCCTACCCTGGGATTCTGTGTGGAAAGACACGATAAAATCCAGTCCTTCAAGCCAGAGACCTACTGGGTTCTCCAGGCCAAGGTTCTCGTCCCTTTTGTATTCCTGTTGTGTTGTTGTAGGTTTGGGGTGCAGACTCTGAGCGTTTTACCAGTCAGCATCAGCGCTTCATTGGTCCTAGGCTCAGAGCACACGCGTGGGTTGGGTTACGGTACCAAACAATTATCATTCCTGGTGCCCTGGAAGAAGAGGCACCAGCTTTCAGGGGGCAGTGGGCCGGGCTGAACCTGAACACATGAAATTTGGACAAGTAGGAGTAATTTCCCTCTGGAGGTATAAGATAGGTCAGCCATTCAGTCAGTGTCCAAGCACAGGATGAGGACAGGGCTTTCAACAGAGTAGTGCAGTGCTCCTCGGGTTGTCTCCAGGGCTGGGGTCTGTGTGGGGATGGGACGGTACTTCAGGGAGGCAGGGATAGAGTGAGAAGCACAGCTTAGTTCCGCAGGACTGTCTGATGCTCAGTGGGTGAGGAGAGTGGGCATCAGCTTTGGATCCACAGCGCAACAGTTATGTCTGTAGACAAACCAGCCTTCCTTTTGTCTTCCTACAGGTTCACACCAATAAAGAGGAGTCTCTCCTTTTGGACTGGGACCGTGTCAGAGTTTTTGACCGGGAGATTGCGCAGATGTTTTTAAACATGACAAAGCTAGAGAAAGAAGCTCAGGTATTCTTTCTCTGTCCACATCTGTCACATCTGTTCTTTTGTGAAATGCAGATGCTTCTTGGACAGATGCATGGTTACTCACACATCCATTCTTGACATACTTCTGCTAGTGCCGCAGCTGTGAAACACTGCCTCAGGTGCTGTCCACGTCTGAGACACCCACCACCAGGCAATTTCCCCTCTCCTCCAACATTCTCAGGTGCAAGGTCTCCTCTGGCGGAACTCCATTTCACACAGATGTTTCTTTTCCACAGTAGCCAAAGCTACCAGATACAGACAGACCTTTGTATACATTGGTGAACTTGCCTGAGGTTACACAGCTAGAAGGATATAGGTTTAAGAGCTCATATTCAGTCAACTTGCACACTTCCATGGTGGTGTTTCTTACTTGGGGCGAGGGCTCTGCTTCTTGGTACTTAGGAAGATGGTGAGGCTCAGTGAAGGCTGATGGCACAGTATAGAACCAGGCCCTACAGCTGTCACAGCTAACCATCGCTCAGCCTCTTCCAGGCCTCTTTTACTCACATTCTAGTTGCTTTTTTCCAAGCCTCGCCCTGATACCATTTTACTCAGGCTCTGCTGAATCACATGTGAAGGAAGCTGTTTCATATTGTAATGCTGTCACAACCCACCCCCAGGAACTCTAACCTCCAGTACCACATACACAGATACCCTCAGTGTCAGCACCCATGTCTGTTGTCTGGAATCCAGTCTATGGGAGGTTGGTAAAGGCAGGAGAATAGCTGGTTTGTTTGGATTATTTTTGCAGTAGGCAAAACAAAGAGTCTGCTTTTCTGAGTATGCTACCCAGAGTGGGAAGTGGTAGCTCACCAGACAAGTATGGCCCATAGATAATTTCAGAATGATTACTGTTGAGCAAGTGTGAGATTTGACATAGAAATTATGATTTGTAGCTTCCCTTAAAAAAACAGGAAGATAGCTGGCGTTGGTGGCACACGCCTTTAATCCCAGCACTCGGGAGGTAGAGGCAGGCGGATCTCTGTGAGTTCAAAGCCAGCCTAATCTACAGAGCGTGTTCCAGGACAGCCTCCAAAACAATACAGAGAAACCCTGTTTCAAAAAACAGGACGGTTTTGCAAGTGGCCCACTTGGCAGCACTCACAAACAGCAGCAGCCATTTCCCTAACACAGCCCACAGGCTACCCTGAGGCTTGGCCTGTGTTGACTACTATGGGATTTACATCTATAGTCCTTCCCCATCCCTCCACATTTTCTTCTTCCTTAAGAAAAACAGGATGTCTGTTTCTTCCCCCTTCTATTCCTCCTTGCTTTCCTTACCTAAATACTCAGTTCAATTATCAGGCTGTTGGGGAAAGTGAATCCCAGAAGCCCGAAGACCAGATGAACTAGTTCAGACTTTGTCCACACGTTTCAGTTGTTCTGGCCTCTTCATGTTGCCAAATGTCCCTCCATCTGTCCTAACCTCAGGTGGAGGCTACAAGCAGGAAAGAAAAGGCCAAGCAGAGACCACTTGCTCTGAACACTGTGGAGATGCTGCGTGTGGCCAGCTCAGCCCTGGGTATGTAGAAGCATTTCTCTAAGGCCTCCCAAAGACATCTTTAGACCAGCATAGGGCAAAGCCAGTATCTTAACCCACACCAAAAACCTCTCGTGCTGTGATGTTTGAAGCTGTGGGGGTGGGGATCTTGAGTTTCATATGAGTGTCCATTCTCTGTAAGTCCTAGAATAGGACTCCTCTAAGCACTGCTTCTGTAGCTATAACAAGGGTTAGGCTGAGAAACTGGTGGTCTATCCTCACAGAGCTGGTCCTTGGTACAATGCCATCAAATGATCAATAGCCAAGTGCCAGCTTCCAGGTTAGAAAGCAACAGGACAAGCCCTCTTAGAATGCAGAAGCCTAGGGCCATAGAACTGAGTAGTTAGCAAGATCAGCTACTCAAAGGCCTAGTTCCAGCTCTGAGGCCAGAGTTCAGACTGCCATCAGTACCACTATGAGCACTGTAAAGTGGTACCATTGCATCCACCTTTCCAGATTCAGGACCTCAGTTTTGGACAGGCTGGCCCAGTGCCCACCCAGCCTTTACCTCTGAGCCCTGGTGATACCCACTGAGAGCCATCTTTTGCCCTCTTAGGAGGTGCTGGCCTATTTCTGGGGGGAAGGAAAACGCCCAAGCCCGTGGGTGAGCTCCTGGCCACCTTCCAGAGCCCTGAGCCTCCCTGTTTTTTGACAGGTATGGGACCACAGCATGCCATGCAGATAGCTGAGAGGTTATACACACAGGGCTACATCAGCTACCCACGGACAGAAACCACCCACTATCCTGAGAACTTTGACCTGAAGGGTTCTCTGCGACAGCAGGCCAACCACCCTTACTGGGCAGACTCGGTGAGTGGAGTTTGTCTTACCTTGCACAGCCTATCAGCTATGGCCTCCTGGACATGCTTTGGCCAAACCCAAGACCAGCCTGACTTGTCTCTGCTTTGCCTCCCCTCCCTCAGGTAAAGCAGTTGTTAGCAGAAGGCATCAACCGCCCACGGAAAGGCCATGATGCTGGTGACCATCCTCCCATCACACCTATGAAGTCAGCTACAGAGGCTGAATTAGGTATTGGATACTCCTCTTCCCCACATGTTCACACTCTGCAAGCTTCCAGGGTGTGGAGGGCAAGCTGCTACATGGCACCAATGGGCAGGGCCAGGCCTTTTATCAGTATGGCTGCTTTCAGCCTGTCGCTGGCTTAGTGAAGCACTCAATCACCAAGCACCTAAGACAGAAGTGAAGTGATCACAGCTGGTTGGGGAGAGGCCAGTATACAGACAGCCTTGGTGTTGGGGAATGAGGCAAAGTAGCAGAGCTCAAAGGTGAACTGTACCTCCTACCTAGACTAAGGCTGTAAGGCTCTTCTGATGACCATGTTCCAGAAGAATGCCTGTAGAGAAGGGAGAACAGGGCCAATGGAACCAGGAGCTGCTGCAGATCTGAGCGAGAAGCAAGAGTACCACATACAGCTATGCCGAAAGAGCAGTCTACTGGAGACACTGGCAGGGTCACCAGGCAGCTTCCCTTGCTGTGTTTTCCTCCTCTCAGGCTTTGAGACTAAGGATGGGGTTTAATGGTATGGCATTTGCCTGGCATGTGCTTCTGGCCCTCTACTCAATCCCGGGCATCATAAACATACGCACATCCTTGGTACCCTTGCCAAGGCCCTGTTGTTAGTCCAGGGCACCTGGTAACGCTGAGCCTTTCTTTACAGGGGGTGATGCATGGCGACTATATGAGTACATTACCAGACACTTCATTGCCACAGTGAGCCATGACTGCAAGTATCTCCAGAGCACTATCTCCTTCAGGATCGGGCCTGAACACTTTACATGCTCAGGAAAGACAGTCATCTCCCCAGGTAAAATGGCAGGCCGTGGGGTCCCTTTCTTCTCATCTCCACAGACGCATGAGATCCCTGGGTGGGAGGCCCAGGTGGGGACCTCAAATGGCAGTGGTATCTCTCTAGGCTTCACAGAGATCATGCCTTGGCAGAGCGTGCCCCTGGAAGAGAGTCTACCCACATGCCAGAAGGGTGACACCTTCGCTGTGGGCGAGGTGAAGATGCTAGAGAAGCAGACGAGTCCACCAGACTATCTGACTGAGGCTGAGCTCATCACACTCATGGAGAAGCACGGCATCGGTAGGTACCCAGATCTAGGGTTTCCATTCCCAGGGCCTGAGCCAAGAGGTGATGCTAGCAAGCCTGCCCGTGATCCCTGTGCGCCTACCTGGCTCAGCATGTGGTAACAGATAGCCCAGTATATGACCCATGGCTCCAGGCTAACTCACTGTAAAGCTGTTTACAAGGTCCTACATCTCCACCTGGCCTTCCATATGAAGACTGTGATACAGCCTTGTGCGCCAAGGGACCAGTATACACTGGTCAGTATACACTGACAAGTGCCCACCAGACTCAAGGTTAGCCCAGAATTCTGAAGGATTCCTGGGACAGATTAGCAGCCTCCCCAAAACACACAGCTAACTGGACAGGCTTACCTTAGCATTCTGGTCTGCTCTGCTTCTCCCCAGGGCCAGGGTGCCTAAAGTGAGTCCTGACAGTAACCTCAGCCTGCAGCGAGTTCCCAATGATGGGCTAGCCAAGTGCTCAGAGCCTTTCTCACAGTCATGACTTATTAGTAGCACACGTGAGACTGCTACGGACCCAGAGACCAACATACACTTCAGTTCGGGACAGTGAACAGCGTTCTTATGTGACCTTCTGAACAGGAAAGTGAGTGAAGGCAGTGCTGTTGAACAAGGTCCATGGGCAGTATAAAAAGGCTTACCTACCTGGACGTAATGACTCATATCTGTAATCCTAGTATTTAGGAAGCTGAGGAAGAAAGATTGCCACAAGTTCAAGGCCAGCCTGGGCTGTGGAGTGAGACTCTGTCTTTAAAAAAAAAAAAAAAAGCTCTGACTATAGCAGCCATTCAGGAACTCTTGCATGTGCGAACTGCCTTGATCAGGGCCAATTCCTACCCTTGGCCATGAGCCGTGGAACCTCTGAAAGCTCCTCGACCCCAATGCCAATATGTTCCCTGTAAACTTGCTCAGAGTACCCTTGGAAAGATACACGCTCCTCTGCCAGCACTAGCAAGTGTGCAGTCAGTGTTCAGTTCCCTTTTCACATCCTCTGAGCAGCAGAACAGCAGAATACCTTATCTTCCACTTCTCTGCCAAGAAGCTTGGGCAAGGTGAAAGAAGCTGCACCCCTGGAGTGGGAAACATGCCTTGGGTGTTGTGAAGGGCCCTAAGGAAGGGGAGAAGAGGAGAGAGGAGATGGATAAAGCCACCTGGTTCAGCAGTAGCTTCATGAGCTCTGTCTGGGAGAAGCTGGGCCCTGACATCTGGAGAACGTATGTGTCACAGTCCAGGTAGAAAAGGTCAAGTTGCATGTAATAGTTTCAGGAAATGCTCTCTGACCTTAACATAGTCCTTTATACTCTCTGGGCCTCTGTCTTCGAATTATAAAACTAAAATAAACACCAATGAAGACTGTCCTTGGGTTCACAGGTGTGCCCACACAGTGCAGAGACAGCCCTTTCTCTGTCTTGGGAACCTTTCTGCATCATAGCTTCTGGAAGTCATACAGGAAACAGCAGTCTGGACCCAGTGAGCAAAATAAGCTTCAGTTTATGACATGATACTCCTTCCATGGGTGTCTGGGAGGGCCAGAAAACAGGGTTCCTCCGACAGGTGGATGAGACTAGAGTGCATCGCCCAGAGCATCTTCTGGGTGGCCGGGGGATACCCAGAGCCATACTGTGCCTTCCAGGGACTGATGCCAGCATCCCTGTGCACATCAACAACATCTGCCAGCGCAACTATGTTACTGTGGAGAGTGGCCGCAGGCTCAAACCCACCAACCTTGGCATCGTCCTGGTGCATGGTTACTACAAGATTGGTGAGTCTATCTACCCATCACCTGTGACCTGCTGGGCTTCCCGGCTCCTTCCCATGCAGTAGCTCTGCCACCTCCTACAGCAGCCCTGTGCTCCTCAATGCTTTTTCCCAGTCCCCACTACAAAGATGCTGTGGGGACTCAGGAATTTGATGAATGAACAGATTATGATGGGTCCAACAGAGGGTTCTTCCACAAAGCAGACCTGGGTCCTGAGTCTTCACTAAGATACCCACCAGTTGCTCACTAAAGCGTGCCCCCAGTTCTTTGGAAGATGGAGGAATACAACACACATCTGGCCATTCTGCACAACTTTTCTGATGGGAAATCAGGGAAAGTTTGATGGCGATAGGAGCTGCCCTTGATGCTTCCAACTCTGTAGACAAGCATCCAGGGGGAACCTAGGGAGACTAGGTCAAGCAAGACAGCAGTTCTTGCCTGCCCAGTGGGGTGGCAGGGTCCTGGGTGCCAATGCTCACAACTGCATCTACCCACTGGTTTATAGATGCAGAGCTGGTACTCCCTACCATCCGCAGCGCAGTAGAAAAGCAGTTGAACCTGATTGCTCAGGGCAAAGCTGACTACCACCAGGTCCTGGGTCACACCCTGGATATCTTCAAGAGAAAATTCCACTACTTTGTTGATTCTATTGCTGGTAAGACCTGCCTCTTCCCTGCCCCTCATCAGCAGCCATTCCAATAGGTCAGAGCCACCTGAGGCCCACTCCCAGATCCAGGCTCTGAGCTTCTACAGGTCACTGCAGTGATGCCTCCTCATCAGCTATTGTCCAGGTTGATCAGCATCCACATTGGGGACATACAAAGCTAATGAACAGGGCTACAGCTCCGTGGTCTATCATTGACAGCCACAATTGGGCTTGACATGTATGCTGGCCTCTCTGTTCCACCCAGCCCCACCCAGCTCACACAGTCCCTCCAAGCCACCAAAGACAGGAGAGACATGACTCCTGGGCTCTGCTTGTTCTCAGGCATGGACGAGTTGATGGAGGTATCCTTTTCACCCCTGGCTGCCACGGGCAAGCCTCTCTCACGTTGTGGGAAGTGCCATCGATTTATGAAGTATATCCAGGTATGTGGAGCCCAAGGACTGTAGCCACTTCTGGCCACAGTATTCCTGCACAGACGTCACCTTAAGCCTTTGCTTTGTCATTAGTCCTGCAAAAAATTATGTTCGTTGTCATAGTTGTCACACAGAATGATTAAAAGATCTGAATCCGCACTGGTAACAACATAAACAAACCACCAGGCTACACACACGGTGCCCATCCATTCACTCTTGCCACCAATTCTCTCTTTTTTTCCTGAGACAGGGTTTCTTTGTGTGATGTTGGCCACCCTGGAACTCAATCTGTAGATCAGGCTGGCCTCAGACTCACAGAGATCCACCTGCCTATGTCTTCCAAGTGCTGGGACTAAAGGTGTGCACCACCACCTCCCGCCATCATTACTCTTGCTCTCGTGAATATTGTTAAGAGTTCGGGTCTTTGCATTTACTCTGTGTGTGGGTGTGGGTGTGTGCGTGCGTACACACGCGCACTTTCCACAACACGTGAAAGTCAGAGAAAAACTTGTAGGAGTCAGTTCTCTCCTTCCATCAAATGTTCTAGGGATTAAATTCAGCTTCACATCAAGTACCTTTACCTGATGAACCATCCACCAGCCCCTTGCTGGGGCTTTAGAATCCCTGCCTTTGAGAGGGAGGGAGGAAAGGGGAGGTGGGGTAACTGGGCCTCATACCAATGGTTGAGAGGTCCTTGCCTGCTGCTGAATTGTACATTCTGTGTATTTGTTAGGTATTCTGCATTACCTGTTCGTGTTGTGAAGGGGAGGACTTTGGGCAAAAGGCACACCAAGCAGCCCTCGTACCCCTTCTCATTGTTCCCATCCCACAGGCCAAGCCAAGCCGCCTACACTGCTCCCACTGTGACGAGACCTACACCCTCCCCCAGAATGGCACCATCAAGCTCTACAAAGAGCTGCGGTGCCCATTGGATGACTTTGAACTGGTCCTGTGGTCCTCAGGCTCCCGGGGCAAGAGCTACCCACTATGTCCCTACTGCTATAACCACCCACCCTTCCGAGACATGAAGAAAGGTAAGTGTGTCACATGACTGTTCCCAGCATCATACCAGACTCCAATAGAGTCCCTTACCTGTCCTTCCCTACCTATACCTACTAGTACTGAGTCAGGAACCCCCGGAAATACTTGGGCCACTGCTGGGGTCTGGGTATGCCTGGGTCACAATTGAACAAGAGGTTTATTCACTTAGGATCTGGGCAGGGGACAATGAAACCTGACAAACAAAGCCCCCTAGACTCTCAGACACTACTGTTGTCTTCCTTTGTGCTCTTTGCTGGAAAAAAAAGAATGTGTGTCCAGACTAAGGAGAGCATGCCACCAGAGGGACTCAGTGCCCAGCACACTTAGCCACTCTCGGGTGGTACCATCCCCTATCTCAGACTGGCAGCCAGCACCTTTGTTACCCATGCATTTATACGGAATCCTCAGGGGCTTGGTCTGCATTCATACTGCCAAGATAATGAAGCTCTCTTCCTGCCTCAGAGTGGCTTACAGAGCAACACTCAGTACCAGGTGATCTGAGGGCAACCTAGAGTAGCCGTTAATAAGCTTCAGAAGCAAAATGAGGGTCAGCTGGAACCCTTAGAGCACTGAGGACTGAGCATGTTTAGATAAGCAGAGGCTGGACTGGTAACAGTTAGAATCCAGGCCAGTATGAGCAAGATGCCCCAAAAGCAGGTTAAGAGCGAGTACCCCGCAGTCTGGCACTGAAAGCACCAGAGCTAAGGGATCAGGGCAGGGTTAAGTCACTGGCCTCCTCTCCCTTCAGGCATGGGCTGTAATGAGTGCACACACCCTACCTGCCAGCACTCACTGAGCATGCTGGGCATTGGCCAGTGCGTGGAGTGCGAGAACGGAGTCCTGGTTCTGGACCCCACCTCGGGTCCCAAGTGGAAGGTGGCCTGCAATACATGCAACGTGGTGGCACACTGCTTTGAAAATGCCCACCGAGTACGGGTGTCTGCCGACACCTGCAACACCTGTGAGGCTGCCTTGCTTGATGTAGACTTCAACAAAGCCAAGTCTCCCCTTCCTGGCAACGAGACACAGCACACAGGCTGCATCTTCTGTGATCCCGTCTTCCAGGAGCTGGTGGAGCTGAAACATGCAGCCTCCTGCCACCCCATGCACAGAGGTGGTCCTGGAAGGAGGCAGGGTCGTGGGCGTGCCCGGGGCCGGAGGCCTCCTGGAAAGCCCAACTCCAGGCGCCCAAAAGACAAGATGTCAGCCCTGGCTGCTTACTTTGTATGACAACCCGTCTTCCCCACTCCAGCTCCAGTTTGCTGTAAACACATCATGGTGGTTGTCTTTGAGCCACTGAAACCATTAAAACACTTTTTATTTTGTATTCTCTTGAGCAGAAAGCCTGGGGCCTTTTGCTGGTGAAGATTGGTTGGGTGGGGGAGCTCTGTATCTGTGGGAACCTGTGAGGATTCCCCTTTACCCTTCCATCCTGTGCATGTTTACATGTAGCCTGCCTGCTCTGCCTGCACCATGGCAGTGCCAGCAATAAAACCACCACATCCGGGACCATGGGGACAGTCTGTGGCTCATACCAAGTGTGTACATGTACAGTGGTGTAGCTGGGTACAACACCAGCTGTAGGCAGTCTAAGGTTAGCAGGAAGATGGACAGCAGCAGCCCAAAGGAGTCTTGAAGAGCCAGGTGGTGCAGACAGAGCAAGGTGAAGTGCTCAGCCTGGCTCTCAATCCCTTGCTCGCTGCCTGAAGCCCAGTTTCCTGATCCTTAACCCATGGCTTTAGGGCTGCCACTCAGAAACTCCAAGAGCCTGTATGTGACTGTGGTAAAATGGGTCTGTTTTGACTCCTGTTCTCATTACCAGTTTGTACTGCCTCAGACAGGCAGCCAGTACCCCACTGAAGCTGGTCAAATGCCAAGTCTAGAAAATATTCTGTAAGCCAGACCACTCTGGTAGCTGGATGGAACTGTAAGCCACTTTTCTGGCTGCAACCCCTTCCTATGTTCCCTTCTCCACCCACCCGGCATAGGTTCCTGTTTTAGTTGTGATAGAAACTGACTGCCCTCTGAGGGCCATGCCTTGCCATGTGGTTGCAGGAGCTTAGCAAGACAACTGCCCAAGACAGCCCTGTAGAGTGCTTGGTTGAGAGGCAGCCAACAGCATTCCTCACAGGATCCCTCCCTCCCTCTGCAGTAGAGTCACAGTCACACAGGGCCGGTAGACTCACGAGGAAGCCGTAAGACAACTAGTTCATGGAGCAGTCTCTCCACATGGCCCCACCAGGACTTCCTCCCTCCCCCAGCCCTGATGACCAGAAAAGATCATCCAGCACAGGGAGAGGTGATACCTTGGGAAAGCCACCCAGAGGTAGTGGACCAGGAAGCTGCATAGAAATTGCTGGAATGTGTCCCAGTAGTATATGCATGCTATAGGACAAAAAGGACACTCAGAACCTATCCTCTCCAGTCAAAATCTTGGACCTTAATAAGGCCTCATGTCTTGTTGAGTTGGATACCTAGCACAAGGCTGTGGCTTTGCTATTTGGCCCAATTGCATCTTGAATAGACTACAGGAAGGCAGCTCAGTTGTGTATTTAGTTTGGACTTGGGCTTTAAACCCATACTATCAATTCCATCTTTAAAATTCTACACTGAGGTTTCAACCACATGGGCCTTTAATATGTCCCTTTGTTTTTCCATGAAATTGTCCCTTTTGTGTGGAACTGCACTCTAAACTCCTGGCCGCCTCACCTTTCATCATCAGTAGTGTCCAATCTCATTATCCTTGCTAACCTGTCAACTGGGAACAATTAGGGTAAGCGGTGAGACATGTTCTAAGTCTAAACTGTCTTTGGAGCAGCTGTGTTCCTGGCATCACCTCTTCTGCTCTGGAAGCTATAAGGTGCAGGGCAGCCTGTGGTAGGTGAGGCAAACAAAAATCTCAGGCTACCCCTCCTTGTGAGTCATGGTGTCAGGGCCAGTGGTTTCTCCCCCGGTGTTCAGATCCCATTTTTGTTACCTTGCGACTACAGTGCCCATTGACACAAGAAATTCTGTTTCATCAAGTGCAGCACCCTCCCAGCGCTGTAGAAGGTACCATGGACCTACAACTATACATCATTACTTCTTATCCCTTTGAGAACAGTCAGTATCCAAGAGGGAGCCAGCAACCCATCACTGAGATTGCTAAAGCCCACTAGTGATGTCTTGTCTCTGAAAAGGGTGATACAGGCTGATGTGATGAGGCTGTTTGCATCCACCTGCAGACTGCTCAGAACAGGCTTCTGGAAAAGACCTTAGGAGGACTGGGAGAGAGGACGTGGATGGGAGATCTGGGACCTCCTGGCTCTACCCCCACAGCTTGAATGTTCCTATAACACAAATAAATGAAAGGACCCAGAGACTGAGATTTCGGGTTTCAAACTTCAAGCTGAATATCAGAAAAGCAAAAAAAGCTGGTCACTAGCTCTCACCTCTACCTCAGGCTGAAAGTGTTGATCCACGCAGGAGCTCTCGCCAAGCCTGAAACCACTGCCTCTCCTCAGCGTGGCTGGAGAATGAATGCCTCTCTGAGACCTTGCTTCTGTCTTATGTACTTCCCTAATGCTGGGATTAAAGGTGTGAGCTATAATTCTCTTTTAGACTTGATTCCCTCTTGTGTAGATCTGGTTGGCCTTGGACTCACAGAGATCTGTCTATCTCTTAATCCTGAGTCCTAGGATTAAAGGTGTGTACTGCCACCTCCTAACTTGTGGCTGCTGGGATTAAAGGTATGTGCCTGCCTTCTATGACTTGTGACTGACTTTGCTTGCTGAATCTTTAGTCAAGCTTTAATAAATCATAAATAATACATCCCTACATGTTCCTTGCTGGAGAAGCACAGGTTTGAGCTAAACTGGTTGGTATAGCTAACACCGAGACTCCTTTGACAAAAATAAAAGCTAAAAGCTTTGGTATAATGGTCTGCAGAAAAGACATTAATTGTGTTGACAGGAGCTTCAGGACAAAAGAAATGTTGCAGATATGTCGTTGGCCCAGAGCCTAACAAGGGCGAGTGCCTACCTTTGTTGTCATCTTTGAGCCATCGTCCTGAACTTGAGTTGCTGTTACCTTGCCTGGTTATAAATGGCCTCAGACCTTGCTCAGATTGATTGAACCAGGACCCTGCTTCTTGCATTCAGACACTCTCCCCGCCATGCCCACCCCACCAGTACCCACAACCCAGGGTGGTTTCCTTTCCCTGAAACCTGCCAATCAGGGAGGGTTCCCTGAGGAGCTGTGGTCTGATGGTGTATACTTGTCAGCACAGTTCTAGGGGTAAACAAACAATTGTTGTAAAACCAAAAAGCTCCCACGGCAGACTAATTTGCAGGGTTTCTTTCATGGTGTCACCTAAAGCCAACCTTGTTTTGTTGTTTGTCTTTTGAGACAAGGTTTCTCTGTGTAACAGCTCTGGCTGTCCTGAAGTTGCTGTCAACACAATGTCTTTTCTGCAGACCAGGCTGGTCTTGAACTCACAGAGATCCACCTGCCTCTGCCTCCCAAGAGCTGGGATTAAAGATGTGCGCAACCACCTAACTTGCATTTAAGGCTGCCTCTACTGTCCAGTGTAGTAAGGGAGTTTTCATTTCCTGTTTGGTAGTCCCAGGACACGTATGTCACCCTCAGCGACCAGACAGCCCTGCTGAGCACAACAGGTCAGGGAGCCTGGCCAGAGTGAAACTGGAAAGGGTGCTTCCACAATGTGCAAAGGCATTACACATGGCCACTGGTATTGAATGAGTGTTTCCTTTGACCTAAAGGTTATTTCCTTTTGATTTTCAAAGAAAACATCCCCATGACCCTCTCAATTAAAAAAACAAGCAAACACACGACCCAGAGGAATATGCCTGTCTTTGATGAGCGGCCAGCCCTGGGCAATATGTAGACACATCCTGCCCTGCGGCTGATCACCACACAAACTGTTTAATTTCTGAGCGTTGTGGAACAAGGACTACTTTCTACCTACTCGAAGCTGGAGAAGTGAAGCAACTTGTCGGTGGATGGAGCGCGTCTCCTCCCAAAAACAAGAAGGCTAAGAGACCGCCAGGGGGCAGCACAGGCCCACTCGAGGTCCGACTGCGCTTGCGCGGAGCCTGCGGCGCCCCAGGACGGGAAGTAGGCGGGGCCGGCCCAGAGCAGCTCGTGGGGAGCACTGCGGCAGGCTGGCAGGTGAGGCCCGCGGGGTGCTAGAAATGAAGGGCGAGGGTGGAAGACTCGGGCTAGGGTGGCGGTCAGGTGGGAGCATGAGGGTGAAATGAGCCTGAGGACGAAATGGAGAGGTGAGAAAGCACTGAGGACAAGACGGGTTTCGGGTGCCCGAGCCCAAGGGACATGGGGGGGGGGTTGCAGTGAGCAAAAGAGCGGGGCAGGCTGCAGGGACCCTGAGGAACCGGGGCAAAGCATGGGGAGCTAAGGACATGGACCTGGGAATCCATTAACCCCAGGGGATGTGACTGAACCATGATCCAGGAGGGGGCTGAGCTGTGAGGCAAAACAGTGCCAAGGGGTGACAGTCCTCCGTTCTCAGGGATCTCTCATTTTGCCCCCTCCCCAAACATGTGAGCCAAGCCCACGGCCCTGCCCTCAGCCCGACCAGGGAGGCCCCCTCTGGGACCACAATTTATTTGAACGTGAATGCCTGGCCCAGTGGCGCTCCTTCTACGTGTGTTAAAGCTCGTGTTTTAGTTAACGCCTGGCTTGGAGGCTCGCACTGAAGCTGTTTAGATTGCTGTAGAGCCTCAGTCATGAGAGCCTGGGCGCCACCATTACAGCTGTGTGGTCTCAGGCCAGCCCCTAAGCTCTCTGTAATGAGAGAAAGCACCAGGCTGTAGGAATTTCTGCACAGACTAACATCTAGGAGGCCCAGCGGAAGGCGGTGGTCTCCTCCACCAAGACCTTCTATTTCGAGGCCCCTTGAGTAACAGATGTCTTCACCATCTGCCCTGGGACAAGTTCTGTGAACTGTTCCCACCTGAGGAACCGAAAGAGAACCATCTCTACCTCGTGGTCTCTGTGCTGATATCCTTGCCCTGTCAAATTTCACCTTTTCTCCACAACAAACTGATATGGACGTGGCCAAGTCACTGAGCACCAGAGTGCTCAGCGGAGTCCTGCTCTGGTCACGTCTCAGTTTGTGACCTGAGAGTAGTACTTTCCTCCTAGCACCTGGTTTTTTCAGCTGCAGTGTCGCCTGATGACATGCACGGTTCTGAGAGATAAACAGAACTAACAATTGTTTTAAAAACCATAAACCTCCCACAACAGATTAATTTCTAGAATTCCTTTGTGATGTCACCTGAAGCCAGCCTTGTCTTAAGGCTGTCTCTGCTACCCAATGTGCTAAGGGAGTCTTTTCTATTCCTTTTTTAATAGCTCCAGGCCACAGGCTGCTTATCTCACACTCAGTGGCCATTCCGATTTGCTGAGCACAAAGGGCCAGGGTCCCTGACCACATGGAGCTTGGGATCCACTGAAAAGGAAAATGGCCACATAATAATATGACTGTCCTTGTTGTGGCAGAATGGCCCATTAAAGGTGGTTAAAGTGGGGAATGGGTGTGGCTGGGGTACAGAGCATCCTCAGCCTGCACGGGGCCCTGGGTTGAAACTCCAGCACCAACAGAGGAAAAACCTACTCTTAAAGTGGGGTATCTTTTTTGGGGGTTTGTTTTGTTTTGTTTTTGAGACAGGGTTTCATATAGCCCAGGCTGGCCTCCAACTCATAATGTAGCTAAGAATGACATGGACTTGTGATCTTTCTGCCTCCGTCTCCCAAGTACTGGGATTACAGGTATTTGCCAGGACTTCATGTGCTCAAGACAAGTATCTACCAACCAAGCTATACTCCCAACCAGCACCCCACCACCCCTCTGCCCTTTGGTTGGTTTTTGATTGGTTTATCCTTTTTTTTTTTTTTTTTTTTTGGTTTGGTTTGGTTCAGTTTGGTTTAGTTCTTCAAGACAGGATTTCTCTGTGTACCCCTGGGTGTCCGGGAATTTTCTCTGTGACCAGACTGACCTAGAACTCCAAGATCCTCCTGCCTCTGCCTCCCAAGTACTGGGATTAAAGACGTACACCACTGCCTGGCTGGTTTTTCTTTTTTGAGACAAGGTTTCATTCAGTAGCCCAGGCTTACATCAAACTAGTGGATTATAGTCCTGAACCACCATGCCAGGCTAAAATGATATTTTTAATATATATCTTACCACAATATTTATAATAAGCATCTTTAAATATAAATGAAATCCTGTTCATGTATGAAGTAAAAGATTGGTTAAGTTCTAGAAGGATTTACACCAATCTATTCCTAGCAATCAGTTACAAATAAAGAACTGAGCCCTGGAACTAGGGATAGAACAATGTTGATGGGCTGCTTACCCAGCATGCATGATCGACCCCAACACCACGTAAGCCAGATGTGGCATACACCTATGATCCCAGTACTGGACGGGGAGGCAGGGAGGTCACAAGATCAGGGTCTTAGGAGCAGCTGCCAGCTCATAAGTATAAAGAGGCGCCAGTCTAGAACCAGGGTGAGCCAGCCAAGGCCATGCAGCCGTGGCAGTCAGGAGCTTGGTGTCCCTCTGACCCTCCCCACAGGTCCTTGCTTAGTGACTTGCACACACTCATGCACTTGTCCCTCTCATCCTGAGCCCTTTGCTACTGGGAGGACACCATTGATTTCCAAACAGGCCCACAGCAGGCCTGGCATTTCTGTCCTGCCCCACCCCCATTCTCCGCAGACTCCTTTGTCCAGCTGCTGACTACCAACCAGCCACTGCTCTGCCTTCCAGTGACCCCAGTGGTGCCAGGCCCCTCGCCAGACCTTCCTGCTGCTGTCTGAACCTTTCTCTCTGGATCTGGAGTTCCCAAAGCTTTGGAAAGGCATCAGATTTAGGAGTTGATCAGAAAGAGGGAAGACAAGAAAGAGCCTTGCTCTTATCCTTTGCCTCAGCTAGACCCCAGGGAAGGAAAACTGGCCTGGTTCTTCACCACAGTGCAGAAATGGCCACAACAGGCAGAATTTCTCTGGGTGCACTGCCCTTGTAGTGCAAGTGAACAGTCAGCACAGGCCCTGAGAGCAGGCCAGCAGACACGAGCAGAGCTTTGCACAAGAGCCTGAGCATAGTGTCATGCTGTGTGCCTTGCCACCCAAAACCCCACTCAGCATGCGTGGTGCAGATAGCCTTGGGGGCCATAACAGATCCTGAGCCTGGAGCAGAGGGCACAGGGCAGTGAGAGCAGGTATATACCAGGTCCATTAAAGGCTTGCTTCAAGAGGGCTGCAGTGCAGAGGATGAGCCTAGCCTCCAGGGAGAACAGGTGGACTGGGGAAGGACTCCCGATGCAGGAACAGCCCAAGGACAAAGGTTAGAAAGAGGCACCTGCCTTCTGAAACAATGCAGGCAGGGTGATGCTGTGGGCTGGACTTCACCAGTTGGGGCTTCCTGTGTACTCCGGGGTATGAGCATGCTGCCCTTTCACGTTGATCCTAGTCATCGCTTTGTGTCGGCCCATTTAGCACTGCTGGAGATTTTGGTGCCTCTGGGTCTTATAGAACTGCATGGAATAATCCACATGCTCATCACTTGCTTGGGGACAGCTCTGCGGGATTCACACTTCTGTCCCTGCATGCTAAAAGGCTAGAGCACTTGGTGGTTTGGGTACAGTGTGACACTTAGCCTGGGCCTCTTGGAAATTAATGCCATCTCTTTGTCTCCATGCTCTGCAGCTCTATCTGTGTAAGACTGCCTACTGCCTCTGTTGTCCATCTTGCCAACCCCCAGCCCAGGGCCCACTGGCTTCTTCTGTCCTGACTTTGAATTAGACTGGATCTGTCTCATTCCCATCCTAATCTTTCCTTCTTTGCTTTATTTATACTCTGTCTTCTCACCTGCTCGATCTTTGTAACCCAGGCCACATTTTATTAACTTGTAAGTAAATCTAAGTGTAGTCAGTGAATTTAACTCTAACAACATAACCTTCAATAAAAAGTGCTGTATCTATATTTTTGTTTGTTTTTTACAAAGTTACTTTTAGTATTTTGGGGTATGTCCCCATAGGAATGAAAGAACCCTGGGAAAGGGTAGCCCCTCACCTGAAGGAAAGGAAACACAGAAAGGACCCACTTCAGAGTCGAGACAAAGGGAATGTGCTGGAACCTGTGAGCACTACAGGGAGGAAGGGGAGCATGATGGGGCTGACTCCAGACCCACAAAGGATAGGAAAGTTGAGCACGAAGCCTCTTAGGGTCCTCCTCATTTGCCTTCTGCTTCTGCGGCATGATCTCCAAGTCCCTCTGTTTGCAAGTGGCGACAGAAAGCCTGTGGTCTCTTACTCCCTTAAACTAAGTTGTTCTGCTGTATCGTACTCTGCTGGTGGATGAGCTCAAGCTGCCTGCGGTAGACCATAGTACAGCATCCTGCCCCTGTGACATCCTTGGAATCTGTTTGGTTTTTAACACAGTGTCTCTGTAGCCTGGCCTAACTTGGAAATTGCTATATAGACCAGAATGGCCTCAAACTTGTGGCAACCCTCTTGCCTCTGCCTCCTGAATACTGGAATTGCACCAGCTCATAGCTTCTGTGTGTGTATTTTTAAAACAGATTAGCTCTTGATTCCAGCCTCTGAAAAAAAGAAAGAAGTGTTGTGTTTTGTTTGCTTATCACTTGTATCAGTTACTTTTCTTGTTGCAAAAGAATACTTGACAAAAGGGACTTACGGAATGAAGGATTTGCTTTGGTTTTCAGCTTCAAGGAATCCAGTCCATGATGGCAAGATAATCTTGAAGAGGCAGCTGGTCACACTGTGTCCACAGTCCAGAAACAAGAGATTAGATGCTGGGTTCAACTAGTGTACTTCATTCATTAGTATAGGAACCCAGCTGATAGCACGCAGTTGACCTTCTCGCTTAAAAGAATCCCTCACAGACACGACTTGCTTCTTCAGTGACTCTAGATCCTGTCGAGTGGACAGTAACTGTCACGCGACACCTTTCCTTTTGTACCCTAAATACTATTTTGATTGATGTAATACTGGAAGCCCTCCCACATGTACTTGTTTTTGTGTTTTGTTAGTTTTATGTCGTTTGAGACAGTCTCATGTAGCCCAGGATGGTTTTGAAGTCGTGCTCCTCATCCCCGACCTCTCAAGTGCAGGGTCACAGGTGTCCACTACCACACACCAGTTTATGTTGTGCTGGGCATTGCAGCCAGGGCCTCGTGCGAGCCCGGCAAGCGGTCTACCAACTGAGACACCTCTCCATCCCCCTCTTGCGTTCTCTCTCTTTTCAGTACTGGGAACTTGGTTGTAAGTTAGGAATTGTGAGGACGGCCTTTGCTGTGGTGTGCGCTTTGAGTCCGCTTGAGCCCTGCAGGCTTTCCTTGTCCCTTGTCCTTCTCAGCCCTCCTTCCAGCAAAGTTTGGAGGCACCGTCTGTGGTGGTTCTAACGCTGATGGTTCTAGAAGTCTCTCCTGTCTTTCTGCCTGGTCCGTTTAGTGTTAGAACCTGAAAGGCCTCCAGAGGGGACTGTGAAGCTGCTCTCCAGGTTCTCCTACCCGGAGTCTTGTACCCAGTTTATCACCTTAAAGATCGCCATTTGTTTCCTCTGATGGTAAACACTGGACTCTTTCCTACTGAAAGTTCCTAAGCCAGAATAGTAAGTAGAGTCCCCAAAGGTGCCACGCCCTTGGGGAGCTAAAGTGAGTGGACAGCCACACGAGGCCTGGGGTATAACTGACAAAACGCAGTGACTGCAGAGAGGCTCTGTGTGAGCAGATGCTGGCAGAGAGGTTGTGTGCCCGCTGTGATGGAGAGTGGGACTCCACAAGATAACCCCGTGTCCTCCACATGTCCACACACACACACACACACACACACACACACACACACGCACGCACGAACGCACAAATTTCATCAGTGAAATGAATTTTACTTCATTAGAAGCTTTTTAAATCCTAGATATCAACCTGAAAATCGAAAGTGTTGACCTTTAAAATTATCCCTTATGTTACCATTTCCACTTGTGCCACTGTTATCTTCAGCTGAATTGCTCCCACCTTTCAAGGATTTAACTTGGAATGGGTTCTTTAAGAGGCTTTTGAAATGCTTAGTTAGTTATGACTTTGGATGAGACACTTTATTCTACCCAACACCTTACTGGAGGCGCATGTGTGGTGGTTTTGATCAGAGTGGCCCCCAAGTTCATATATTTGACTGCGTAGTTATCAGGAAGTGGCACCATTTGAGAAGGATTAGAAGGTGTGGCCTTGTTGGAGGAAGTGTTTCACTGGCAGTGAGCTTTGAGGTTTCACAAGCCTTGGCAGGCCCCGCCTCTCTGTCTCTGTCTGCCATTCAGGATGCAGCTCCCAGCTGCTTCCCCAGCACCAAGCCTGTCAAGCCTGCTGCCATGATCCCTGCCTTGGTGTTAGTGGACTAATCCTCTGAAACTGTAAGCAAGCCCCCATTAAATACTTTCTTGTATAAAAATTATTAAAGAAAGAAAGCAGTGCTCTGCTCCCACACCAAGGGGGGCAGTGGGAGGGAGGGACCATAGTGCATCACAGGGACATCATAAAAGAAAGGCAGAAGGGGTTAATGTGTGGCCCAGTAGAACTGGGCTTGCCTTGCTGCGTGAGACCTTGGGCTCAATTTCCAGCACCACAGAGGAAGAAAGCAGCAAGCCATAAGCAAGAGACACTCAAGCATTATTTGAGACTAGATGGTTGTAAGGGAGGATAGGAGTCCGTTTGGGTCGTCAGGTATCTAATGTGGTGACAGCCTAAAGGACCAGCCTGCAAGAGTATAGAAGGACTCGTTGACCGTGCTGGATGTGACTCTGAGCCAAATGAGAGCTAAAATCCCACCCCAGGGAAAAGGACAGGGTACAGCTATTGACTTGCAAGAGTCTTGGGCATTTTGTGTACCTCAAATGTGAAAAGATCGGTGTGGGTAGTGACAGTCGGTGGCTCAAGCAGGCGTTCCTCCAAGCCCTGTTCTTATCCTGACCTTAGGCAGGAGACCACCTACTCCAAATCTTGGTAAAATGTGGATTTAACCTGGCTTTGAAGAGCTTGGGGCCACACCCAGGCCCCGACAGCTACAGAGCCCTCAGTGTCCTTGTGTGGGGACAGGCTGGAACTCATGTCCCCAGCTTCAGAAGCCTGGGGTGTTCTAAGCCCTTGAGACACACTTCCCGTTAGAGAGCAATGAATAGACCTGACCACATCACAAAGGCCCCTTATCCCTGGCTATCCCTCTGCTTCTCCCCATCAGGCAGCCCCAGAGGTACCTTCTTGCTCCTACTTTGCTCTGTCTCCAAAGTAACAATGCCCCGAGTGCCCATGTGTGTTGGCTCTTCTGTTTCCCACCATCTCTACTGCCTGGCATATGTCCCTTTCTGCCAGCTGGTCAGTTACTGGCATGCTGGCATCACTTCTTCCCTGAGCCCTCCTGGCCACTGGCATCCTGAGACCTGTTTTGATGACGTGGTCCTGGTGTCCCTCTCCTGCTTGCCTCTGGTCATACCCGCCACTCTGTGGGGAACATGCATTCCCTCTGCCTCTTCTCTGAAATGTCTTCATGGCCTGCTTCTGGTCCCATCTTCTGAGGCTGCTCTCTAGGCATGCGTGTTTCTCCATTTGAACCCATGTCAGGATACTAAATGGGATTACCGCTCCATTAGCTGTATTCCCTGAACTGTCTAGGCCCAGGGCTTTTTAAGGTATCTGTCTCGCCTTGCATGCTGGTGAAAGAGACAAAGCAGGGACCTATACCCCACGTCGTACAGAAACTGCCACCTGTAATATTCTAACCCTGACATCTCTCCCCAGGGTGAAGACTCACTACTGGAGACCGTCTCACCCCAGCCTAGCTGCAAGCCCCCGGGATGCACTGGCATGGCCTCTGCAGTCCCACACAACAGCAGCCAGATGGCCTGTGACAGCGAGATCCCAGGCTTCCTGGACACCCTCCTCCAAGATTTCCCAGCCCCACTGAGCCCGGAGAGCCCTTTGCCATGGAAGGTCCCAGGGACAGTGCTGAGCCAGGAAGAGGCAGAAGCTGAGCTGACCGAGCTGGCAATGGGCTTCCTGGGCAACAGGTAGGCCTGGGCTCCCTCAGGAGGGAGGAGCCTGAGGGAAAGAAGCAGGGTGCTGCAATGTCTGTCAGCTGCAGACCTTGACCTCCCTAGGTCTCATGAGAGTGCCCTTCTCTGTAGGGGTCCGTTCCAGCAGAGCCTGAAAGTCCAGAGAGTGCTGGCTCTGTTACTCAGTGCTTTTCCTCCTGAGTGAGCACTGAGCAGCATAGACCAGGCCACGTCTCAGACAGAAGACTCATCCAGCATAGCCCTTAGCAGTCTCAACATGACTGGGGATGGGTGCTTTTGGATTTCTTTTGTTTCCTTTCCTTATGAGGTCAAGAACTTCCACCATCTCATTTAAAGGGAAAGCTCTATGGTTTCTCTTCACTGTCTGAATGCAGCATCACTACTGCTGAACTGTGCAGCTATTACTGAGTAAAATAGGACAGCTGCTAAATGACTAGTGGATAGGTGCACTGGACAGACATGGTTATGGTTCCCCGTAAGACAAGCACGTGGCTAAGCTTCCATCATGCCACTCATAATAGTTCACCTATTTCAGGTTATTTCTTTCTTATTTCTGCAGTTGGATTTTCTCTTTTACTAATTTTATTGTATGTGCATGAGTGTTTTGCCTGTATATATGGATGTGTGCCACATGCCTGCCTACAGATGGTTGTGAGCCACCATGTGGGTGCTGGGAACAGAACCCAGGTCCTTTAGAACAGCAAGTGCTCTTAACCATTGAGCCATCTCTCCAGACCATACACTTTTCCATTTAATGTTTAAGACTCATTGTTAATTAAAGAGGCAGGAAGTGCAACTTTGAGGCAAGGATGCTCCTGTGTAGATGCCCTGTGGCTACAGTAACAGAGTATTACAGTCGAGGGCTGAAAACAGGGGTTTGTCCTTTGACAGGTCTAAGGGCCAGAAATCCACAACCAAGGTACGAACAAGACCTTGCTTTCTCAGATTATGGGGAAATTGTTCTAGGACTCTCTGGGGCTTTTAGACTCTGGTAAATCGCCTCGTTCTCCCTGTCTGTAACCTCACTTTGCAAGGGTATGTGACCATTACCTGTGGTATGAGCCTTGTATGTAGCCTGCATTCACAGTCACGCATGTGTACACACATACTTACTTTGTGCCCCACAGGCCCTCTTGCTCATGTCCCCACAGCCAGTTTAGAGTTGAGGGTATAAAGGGCTCTTTTTTTTTTTTTTTTTTTTTTTTTTTTTTTTGGACAGAGTTTCTCTGTAGCCTTGGCTGTCCTGGAACTCGCTCTGTAGACCAGGCTGGCCTTGAACTTACAGAGATCTGCCTGAGTGCTGGGATTAAAGGCGTGTGCCATCACCACCTGGCAAGGATTTCTGATACATTGATCCATTGGCTCTTTTTTTTTTTTTTTGGATTTCAATTTGTATTCCCTCTGAGACCATCCAGAAGTCACGTCTGTGACCTCTGGGCTTTGCACTCTTTTTCCTTTCTTCTCCTTTTATTATGATTTTATTGTCACATCTTTAGGTCCCTGAGCAATATAAAGCTTACACTGTACTTATCCAGGTGTAGTTTTCATCCTGTTACATTGTAGGCTCCCGATAACTCTTCAGGTAGCCATTTGCTTGGCACAGTGCCCTCTAGCCAAATTTAAGAGCTCCCAGGGCCAGAATCAAGGCTGACATTTGTAGTGTGCTGACAGAGCTGGGGGCCTCCAGGACCCGTGGGTGGGTCTCTGGAATAAGGTGGAAGCCTTATCCAGGAAGGAAGTGCTGGTGGCTAGAAGCCAAGCATTGTCTGCATCTCCATGACTGGAAACTGCCTCCCTGCCCCCTACAAATGGAGCAGCCAGTGGGCAGGAAGCTTCGGGATGACCTCACCAGCCCCAGATGAGAAGGTACCCTCTCCCTGCCTCTAAAGGAAAACCCAGGGCCTGGCAGGAAATGCCTCAGCACGGGGGAATTTGTTCTCATGTCTTGGCTCACGCTCTTCTTTATTTGGGGTAGGGAATGTGGCAGGGGCGGAGTGGAGATGCAACCCAGGGGCTCAGCAAGCTAGGCGAGGGCCTTACCACGGAGCTGTACCCCTCCCAACTGCTCCGTTTTCAAAGGCACTTCCAGAGGCCTCTCCCCGAGTCTCTCTCTTTGGAAAACTTTGGCTCATTGTACAGTTCCAGAGACTGTCCGTAGCAGAGCCTGGCAGTGCTGTCGCATAATCTCAGTGCAGGAGGCTTGATGGCGCAGGCCTGCTAGGATACAGGGTATGACTGAAGGGTGAAACCTTGGCTCAAAGAGTAAAAAGAAAGCTGTGATACACTTTTGCCTAGCCTGAGGAGTCTCTAGGTTCAATCCCAGTTCTCTAAAACTAAAGGCCATCAGTAGATGGCCCTTAGGATAGGACTCATCAGCTGGACTCTTAGAAGGTGATTGCTGTCTTCAAAACTGAAGTGTCAGCCTGCCATGATGGCGCATGACTGTAACCCCAGCTCTCTACCTCAAGAGGCAGACCTGGGAGAATTAGGAGTTCAAGGTTAGCCTTGGCTACATAGCAAGCTTGAGACTGGCCTGGACTACATGAGATACTGTGGGTTTGTTGTTGTTGTTGTTTTGTTGTTGTGTTTCTTTAAAAAAAAGAAAAGGTCATAAAGGGGCTAAGGAGATGGATGATTTGGTGGGTAAGAGTGTTGTACAAGCCTGAAAACCTACATTCAGATCCCCAGTAACCACATAAAACCTGGATGTGTCTGCATGTATATGTAACCCCAGTAGAGACAGGCAGATCCCAGAAGCTCAGTGGCTTTTAGGTTCAATGAGAGTCCCTGTCTTAAGGGACTCCAATAGAGTGTGATAGAGCAGGACATTTGCTATCCTCCTCTCACCTCTGCAGAAACATGTGAATGTGCACCCACATGCATGCATATTTACAACACATGCATATACAGACAGAACGAGAGAAAGAGAGATGGTGTAAAGCCAGGCGTACTGGTTCACAACAATAATCCCAGCTGAAGCAAGGAGGATCACAAGTTTGAGGCCAGCCTCGGCTACATGGCTACTTTAAAGCCAGCCTGAAAAGCCAGACTGTCGCCATGAAGACTCAGCCGGATGCCCTTTGGAATAGGCACCCTGGGCTAGAGCACACGGTCTAGCTTCTGGGATCCCCCACTAGACATAGAGACAGGTTCTAAGGTTAAGGTACATTCTGAAGCTTTTGAGGCCCCAGGAAGAGTGACTCCTCTGCCAGTGACTTAGGGCTTCCATTTTAAACAGGATTCCCAAGGCTCAGAGCCCCATGGAGGGCAGAGCAGCCATAGAGAGGTGCATGTCCTCAGCCCACAATCTTCACCGCCCCTGGCTACAGCAGACTTGTCTCTTTTCCAAGCACTTCTCTTCCTTGGTCCCTTGTCCCATTTTGCACTGCTGCCTGCCCAAGGCCCCAACAGGAAACTGACGTTTCCTCTCTTCTGACCGCTATCAGTGTGAGGTGATGTTCCTTTCCGCTCTCCTGTGGTCTTCATTCTTCTGTGACTCCAGGACGGTCTGCATTCCTCAGAACCATTCTTCTGTGGTCCCTCCCCACTCCTCCAAGTCTTCCTGGAGCTGGGCCTCACAGCCTTCATTGCTCCAGGGCTCTGTGTCCTGCCACACCATGTTCCCTCAGCTCCCCAGGTCTCCTGAACTCTGCAGAACCTGTGGAACAGAATCGGGCTCCCTATCCCAGCTGGGCTCATTGTGGGGCTCCCTCTCCTCCCCAGCCAACTGCTCGCATCAGATACCTTGATTCTCTGTCCCTTCCTCTGACCCACTCTGGATCTGCTCCCCGCACTGTTCTACTCTGTCTGTCACCAAGGCTCCCTGCCCAGCCCTTAGGCCTTGGCCTCTCTAGACTGTTGTCACCAGCATCCATCATTCGGCCCATCCTCCACGGGCTCAAAGAGATCCAAGATCAAAACAGACCAGGGTTCCCTGTGGCCACAGCCCGCGCTATCCCCAGCTCCCTTCCCCTCAACCCCAGCAACTCAGAGACCCTGAGCTGTACAGAGCACAGCTTCTACCGGGCAGCCCCTCCCACGAGCAGTTTCCTGGGGCTGTCATCCCAAAGCACACAGACCATACACCGTCGTCATAGTCATCACTGTCTCACAGGATGGAGGCCAAGTGGAGGCGAAAGTGTCTGCTTGGCTGAGCCCTCCTTGTGGCCTGCAGATAATCATGGGCGTTCCTTGGTGTGTAGGGTCACCCTGCATCCCTGTCCTACCGATGGCTTTGTCCTCATGGGTGTGTTTGTGTCTGTTTACCCCTCCTCACAAAGCAGCCACATGCTGAAGCGGGGCCTTCCCACTCTACCATAGTCTCACCTTTACTAGTGCCATTCTCCTTGAGCCTACCTACAAGATCCATCCATCTGAGGCAGTAAGTGTTCAGCCTTCAGCATGCGAATTGGGAATACAGTTTAGCTCTAACATGCCCTGGTCCCAAGGGTCACCGGCTTGAGAATCAGGGCAGATTCCTGGCCAGTGAGGTTCACATTCCCAGCAGATCCTATCAGGTGGTGTGCCTCTGGTGTTGTGTGAGCATTCATTCCAGGCCCCTGGAAACAGTTATGACCTGCTTGTGATGACACCGTGCAGAGGGTATGAGCCATCATCTCCATGTCCGAAGTGAAAGATGCCAGGCCTAGGCTTGAGCTGGGAGCTGCTCCAGCCTGCCTCTCATGTCTTCTCCCTAGGAACGCTCCCCCACCGTTTGCTGCCGCTGTGACCCACAAGGCCATTTCCCAGCTCCTACAGACAGACCTGTCCGAATTCAAGAAGTTGCCTGAACAAGAGGAAGAGGAGGAGGAAGAGAAGGCCCTTGTGCCCCGTGAGTTCCTCTCAGATGTCTCTGAGACTGTTTAGCAACTGACAGACAGGTTGACACTAAAGGTCAGTGCCCAGGGTGCTGTCAAGACAGCAAGGTCAAAGTACAGAGGAATATGACACAGCAGCAGAAAGCCTGCCCAGCGCCCAGGCCGGAGCCTCCAGTGAGGAGGCATCTGCTGGTGCCGGGCACACCCTGGTCTTCTCTGGGTTATGCTTCAGAGCCTCAGAAGTGAATGGTGCTCGTTCTGCTTCACATGTGAACCCAAGGTGCTGCCTCAGCCATGCAGCCACCTGTGCTCGCTGCTCTTCCTCAGCGGATAGGAGGCATGTCCACCCAGGGAGGGGAGCAGCTGTTGTCGAGGCCCCCTGCCTCGACTTACCTTAGTTGGGACCACTAGATGTCAGCACTCGGTGATCCCATAGTCATGAGGTGGCAGAGACTTATGTGTCTGCTGCTAGTGGACATCACAACCAGGGGGACCCAGGGACCGGAGTGAGTGCCGAGGCCATTTGACAGAATTCACTTGTAAGAATGCAGGGCTCTTACTCTGCATGGCTCTTCCCCAGTCTTTGCCAAGGCGTTGGTTACTGAAGACCAACCAAAGGCACCAGGAAGGAAGTGGCGGCTGCAGGAATGCACCACACGGCTGTGGGGCCGTGTTTCCCAGACTGTAGAAAGCAGGGTCTCCTACGCTGCTGCTTTGCATACGCTAAGCTCAGCATTAGCTCATGTGTAGAAGGGAAAACAACACAATAGAAGGAAAAGAAAACTAGACGCAGCCGCCAGCACTTGTGCCTACCAGCCATCCTCCCCACCGCTATTTCTGGCGTCCTCTACAACTTCCTGCCAGCCTTCATCCCAGCCTCTGCCTGGGAGACAGCTATCCTCAATGACAGGCAGCCATTGTTCTCTCTGAACCCAGCAGGCTTCCAGCCTGGTGGCAGCTGCCACCAGGGCCCCACAAAGGAAGCACCCCCACCTTATGCTTCCAGAGAGGAGACAGCATCGCCTGCTGGTAGGAATGAGAATTGCAGCTGATAAGCCCTGCCTTCCACCAAGGCTTGTTTGTGGAGTAGGGAGGAGCCTGCCCCACCATCCCTGTCTGTCGCAGAGCTGCCTGCCATGCAGGCCCAGGCTTGTGGCATTGAACACTTGTGGCAAGTCTGTAGTTTCCAAGCTGCTCTTGCCCAATTATATCGGCACATCCTGTGAAGCTGACTGCCACAGGCAGACACGTGACTACGGCATCTTCGCCCGGCTGCCAGCAGCTTCCCTGTGTTGTGACCACAGACCTTCCAGGCAGTTCCTGAGGCTCAGTTCTGGCCCTTGGCCAGAAGTCAGGATAGGACTCCAAGAGCCCGAGGCTGGGCATTACTGTAGGGCTTGCCGCCTCGTTTTGAATTGAGCAAACATCCAAGTCCAAACCTGTTGCTGGAAATGGCAGTGCAACCTATGGCTGAAAAGGAGGCAGCCCAGGCCTAGAGGCCCTGGCATGCTCAGAGCTTCCTAAATACCAGCTGTTTCCAGGAGCAAGGGGACCACAGCAGCACCCAAGACAGGGGCATGAGTCTCACTGTCTACAGAAGAAAGAATGAAAGACCTAGGAAGTGGCGTGGTTGGAGACAGGCTGGATAAGGGGCACACAAGTTCAACAGAAGGCTACACTGGGTCACATTCTAGGTGTGGTCCCTAGGTTCTCCGGGTCCTCAGCCTGCCACTCCCACAGCTGTTGCTGAATGCCTGAGTGGGGCACTGTCCTGGACATGATGCTGCGGGAGACTGTACATGTCCAGTCTTGATGGAGATTCTGCTTGGCCTTATCGTTCTCCCTCGCATGTCCTCTGTGCCTCCCTCTGGCTTCCTTTCTCTTTCCTTCCACAGCCGTACTTCTAAGAGCACTTCTCCCTGGAGCTGGAGAGATGGCTCAGAGGTTAAGAGCACTGACTGCTCTTCCAGAGGTCTTGAGTTCAATTCCCAGCAACCACATGGTAGCTCACAACCATCTACAATTCAATCTGGTATATATGTAATAAATAAATAAATCTTTTAAAAAAAAAAAAGAGCACTTCTCCCAATTCTCCTTGTCCCTCTGTCGTGTGGCCTTTGATGCTTGAACTCTAGTTTTCGCTTACCTGACTTTGCACCATCCTCTTAGCCAATGGCTCTGACTGCCACACGACCCAGACTGCAGGAGGCTTTCTGCATTGAGATGAAGTGAGGCCTAAAAGCTCAGCCGGGAAGTCTCCTTTGAACACGATCCTTGTTGATCTCTTCTTAGAAGCTAGGCGTTGCGGGGCTTTTTATTTTAAACTTTGCATCAAGCCCGCAGCAGCAGCTTACCAGGTCTGACACCCAGGAGTGGCCTGAGCCCCGCTGGCTGAAGAAGCAGCGGAGTTCAAGGTCACATGGGGCAAGCACCAGTAACAGGGAATTGGGAAAGTATTAACACCTTGTACATGTGAGGACTGGGGGGGCAACATATGCAGCTCCTGGGGTCCTACTGCCTGTGTCTTGATTGTACAGAGACCATTTCTGCCTTTTTTTCTGCAGCTAAGTGACTTTTTTCATGTACCTGTGAATAAATATATATGTAATTTTCTACCATTTTCTCAATTTAAAATCATCATTAACAGTTTCACATTCTTGTAAACTTTGTAATGTCTATTTCTGTGTTGCTGTATAGTTTCTCTGTTTGTGGTGCTGGAGTCTAACTCAAGCCTTGGATGTGCTAGCAGAGGCCTCTGTCATCAGGCTACAGTCCCAGCCCTAACTGGCTTTTTTGTTTGGTTTTGGTTTTGGTTTTGGTTGCTTGCTTGTTTGGTTCAGAGCTTGGGTGGGGCTGGGGGAATGGGGAGTTGTACTGTTCTGTTCCATCTTTTAAATAACCTTTGTTTTGAAATAACCGTAGGTATACATGCAGTTAATTATGGAAACTAATGCAGAGATTTTCCAACTGTACATGACCCAGTCACAAAACTGTAATAATATGTCACACACAGGGTCTGAACATGGTCAGACACAAGACAGTTTCCTTATAGAAAGAATCCTGCATGTCACCTACAGGCCACCCAAACACACCTCCCCCACTATGCCCAGCCCCTAACTCCTGTCAGTGACTGGTTTTCTCCCTTTCAGTGATGTCATTTCATTTGGTGTGATTCTCCGGGGACTGACCTGGCTGGGCACTTTTCAGTGTGTCCCTCAGTTCTGCTGCTGAGCCCTCACCCAGGCCTAGCTGCCGAGCCATTTGTAGGTTGGAGGGAATCTGCACAGACTACAGATTTGGGCTATTACAGATGAAGCTGGGATGAGTCGTGTGGTGTTCTCGTGGGAACGGTCCTCAGTTTTCTGGGATTCACACCCAAAAGTATGGATGCTGGCTTAGAAGATAAGTGTGTGTTTAGTTGTGGACATCTTTTTAACAGAAGCCTAATTTTTCATCAGGACAGGCACAACTCACTTACGCCTCTGTCATTGGACCTAAAATATTCCTAGTTAGCAGGTGGTTACCAGACATTTTTTGTCACCAGTGACAGGCTTTCTTGCATAGTTTATAGGTTAGTGTGCTCAGCATGCCCTGGTTGGTGAGGTGGGGCCCATGTAGGCTGTTGAGAGGAGCTGTTTAAAACCTGGGAACATGTCAGGAAAGGAGTACGGGAGAGTAGTTAAGCCTCAGTTGCATGGTTTTACTTTTTGGTTAACAATTTTTTCCATCATGCCCATCAGTGCTAGATGCCAAAGGCCTGTCTCGGAGCTTCTTCAACTGGCTTTGGGAAGTCTGTAGCCAGTGGCAGAAGCAGGTGCCATTGACTGCCCAGGCCCCTCAGCGACAGTGGCTGGTCTCTATCCATGCCATCCGGAACACACGGCGCAAGATGGAGGATCGACATGTGTCCCTTCCTACCTTCAACCACCTCTTCGGCCTGTCTGTGAGTGTTACACCTGCAGAGCCCAGGAACGGGCAGTGTACCGTGGGGGTTGGGGGCTGACGCAGAAGGTGGGGAGCCGTGAGCACTGAGAGAGCTGCCAGCCAAAGCCAAGCCTTGGGAAACAAGAGAAGTTTCTAGCTTGGGGCTGAGTACTAGGCAGCTCTCAGAGTGCCACCCTGCTGAGTCTGAGAAGCTAACTTATAGCACCAAGCTTCCAGGCACATTCCTTCACATGGCCACAGACTAAACAAAGCCAACAGTTGGCCTGTGTTTTTATATAGAGTGCTAGGTTCAGACTTGGATTGCTGAGGCTGTACCAGCTCAAGCCTCCTGATGCATCTTACCTTGGGTTATGTCTGCAGTAGCCTGGTAGAGCTGGTGAGACTGAGACCTTTCCCATGCCTCCCTGTTTGCAGTAGTTGAGCAGTTTGACTTGTGTGATGGAAAGGGCATCACCAGTTCTTCCAGACCCTACCTGTCTGTTTTGTTGCCTGAGACTGGATCATTTATAAAAACGTATTTCTTACTGCTCCAGAGACTGAGAGACATTAAGGCAAGGGGCTGCATCTGAAGAGGGCTTCATGCTGATGGGGAACTCTGCAGAACACCAAAGCAGTGCAAGCCATCACATAGCAAGATAGAGCATGTTTCCCAAGGAGAAAAACTACTCCTTGATGGTCCGTTCATGCCTAAGTCGATTGATCCCAGTCACCTCCCAGAGATCTCCCTTACGTACTGGAGGGTTAGGTTCCAGCATAAGATTGTGTTGTTGCAACCATATTGCTGCCCTAGCTACCCCCTGGAGAACACCCCTCCCCAGATGAGAGCAGCTGCCTAGGGGTCTGACTCAGGCAGGTGCAAGGCCAGGAGGTCAGACTCCCACTGGGCTCCCACCAGGACTCTGTGGACCGTGCCTACTTTGCTGTGTTTGATGGTCACGGAGGAGTGGATGCTGCGAGATATGCCTCTGTCCACGTGCACACCAACGCTTCCCACCGGCCAGAGCTACTCACAGACCCGGCAGCGGCCCTCAAAGAAGCCTTCCAGCGCACTGATGAGATGTTTCTCTGGAAAGCCAAGCGAGAGGTGAGAACAGGCAGCTGGGTCTAAAGTCTGTCTGGGGAACTGTAGCAGTGAGCACTGGGGAGTTCTGGTCTCTGTAGAGGAAGGAAAGTGAAAGTGGTGGGTGGCTCAGGAGGGAAGGGTCTCACCGAGCGCTGCTGGCCTTCGTGCTGCTTCATTCCTTCAGGCACGGGGCTCAGTTTTCATCTGAATGAAGGCAACTCAAAACTTGTCTTTTGTACTAGCCTTGTTTTTCATAACCATAACAAAATAATTGAGATTGGGCCACTTTTAAAGACAGGTTTATTTTGACTCAGTTCAGGACATGCAAGACAAGTGGCCTTCTTGATAATGGTCTTGCTAGTAGTATGCCATTGTAGCTAAGAGCAAGAATAGGGAGGAGAGAGAGAGAGAGAGAGAGAGAGAGAGAGAGAGAGAGAGAGAGAGAGAGAGAGAGAGAGAGAGAGAGAACAGATAATGCATGTACACCTGTATGGGCATATATATGTATTTTCTGGGCTCCCTCCATCTCCCAATGCCACCAGGACCTAACTATGAGGAGCTCTACCCTCTACCCTGTCCGTTCATGGATTTATCCAGCCCCAGTCACCTCCCAGCAAAGTCATCTTCCCCAATACTATAGCTGGCGTTTTTACCCTCCTAATCTCTCATGATAGAAATTAAGTTATAGCACATAAAGCCTTGGGGCCTGCAAACCACAGCACTCCTGGGTCACTGTGCTGGTTCTCCACATGGTCTGCCAACCTAGCAGAGGGCTACATGACTTAAGATACAGGTTGGTTCCTTCAGCTGAGCATGGTAGAATGGCAAACGCATACTTAAAAGAACTGATCACTTATAGGTTCCAGGAGCCAGAGACAGGACAGAGAGGCAAGCCTGGTTTTGCAGGAATCTAAGTGCCAGCCAGCTTAGTACTGGGTACCCTGAATTACACATGCTAGTCCAAGCTAGCCAGTGCCGGGAGAACTTGGGCCCTATAGGTGAAGGAGGTGGCTTTGGGGGCATGGGCTCCAAACTGGCATACCTGTGAAAGTTAATACCAACAGGGCACTAAAGGTTCAACAGCTCTGGGAGCGGTGGTCTCACCAAGATCAACAAAACCTCAAATACCAGTTCATCTAAAAGCAAGTCAAGCAAACAGAAAATATAAATCATGATTAACAAACTGGCCCAGTGCCCCTTGTTCAGCCAGGTCTCAACAGGCTTCTAGTAGCCACTGGGAACTTCTCTTCTAGGAGTGACAGTGTGTGTAGGGATGAGGCCCTTGTTTATAAAATAAAGACAATGGGCCTCTCCTCTGTGTCCTAAAGCCGACCTCACTGGGCCCTCCCAGCAGCAGTGAGGACAGGGCCTAACTGTAGCCATCTTAAACATTGAGACACTGATGCTTACACAGCTTAAGAAACCAATCCCAGAAATGGGTCTGTGGGGCCTGCGCTCAGGCCAGCACAGTCCTGCAACGCACACAGAGGGGATGGCCTCTGGCTGACAGTGAGCAAGGAAGCCACGCTGCCCGGAGTCTGGAAGACCTCAGGCCTGGCCGGAGCTTCTGTGGCAGAGGCCGCCCTGGAATAAGAACTCTGGAGAGAGATTCTCAGTCATCATACAGTGACCAAACAACCTCAGTGGAGTACAGCAGACCTGAATTCCATTTCTCAACAGAAAACTATGGAACATCTAAAACTCTAGGGGAAGCCTAGTGGCCTCCATCACATCCAGCCGATGAAGCAGGGCATGAGATTAGGGTTACCCCTCAGCAGAGGGAAGTTTCTCCTTCCCTTTCCTCCTTCTCGTTCTGGGGATCAAACCTAAGGGCCACTGATCTACACCTTCAGCCACCCTTTTTTTTTTTTTTTTATGCTTTTTCGAGGCAGGGTTTCTCTGTGTAACAGTTCTGCCTGTCCTAGAACTCGCTTCATAGACTAGGCTGACCTCGAACTCACAGAGATCCACCTGCCTCTGCCTCCCAAGTGCTGGGATTAAGGCATGCGCCACCACTGCCCAGCCACTTTTATTTTTTTTATACAGAGTTGCTGAGATGCAGTTCGAGTATGTATTGTATTTGTTTACGGTATACAGCTGGGAGGTTTTGACTTACACATACACTCATGAAGTCCTGCCTCACTATTGGTCATGCCTGAATCTTCTTCCTGCTCTGTGGTCCTTCCCCATTCCTGCCCTTCCATGCCTGTTCCCGCTATCAGTAGTGCACTTCCTGCCACCGCAGGCCATCTTGCCAGTTCCAGCATGGGGTATGAAGGGTTCCTGTAGGACCTGCTCTCTCCACACAGCATGAAAACCACACGATCCATAAGTACAGCTGTGGGGTCCTTTGTGGAGGTTCACCTTCCTCCTCGGTCTCAAACCTCCATGACTCTCCTCCTCTCCCCGCAGCGACTGCAGAGTGGCACCACAGGTGTGTGCGCGCTCATCGCGGGAACTACCCTGCATGTAGCTTGGCTCGGAGACTCTCAGGTCATCCTCGTACAGCAGGGCCAAGTGGTGAAGCTCATGGAACCACACAAACCCGAGCGACAGGTAAGTCTGGGGACTTAACGGGGGAGTGGAATGCCAGGAGGTCACAGCTTGATGCTGTTGGGGCAAACTAAAACATGCAGAGGGTCCAGAAGCCCCTGCAGAAGGACAGTTCCTTTGCCTGAAGGGGGTCCCATGGGAGCCCTTCCTGGGAGACCAGAGGTTCAGGCAAGAACAGGGCCTTGTGCCCTAACAGGTAAGCCCAGAAATAGAGCCTGTGCTCAGGCCGGCACAGGATCCTGCAACACTGACAGGCAAATGGACGGCCACTGACTGAGAATGAGCAAGGAAGCCACACCGCCCAGAGTCTAGAAGACCTAAGGCCTGGAGCTTCAGTAGGTAGAGGCCACCCTGGAATGACAGAACTCTAAAGTCGCTCACTCCTGAGTCTTGAGGTCCTCACCTTGGACATTTGAGTTACAGGTGCTCAGATCCTGGTCTCCTGGAGTCAGAAAGGGGATGCTTAGAATCAAGGGATGCCTCTGCACCGCCTCCCCCAACCCTGCTTTCCCCATGCTCCTCTCTGCCTTGTGTCACGTATTTGTACAGCTGGGACCTCCCCTCATTGGCCCATAAAGCTCTCACCCTTTCTCGCAGGCACATAGAATGATCTTCCATTCCCAGGCCAGTCCCCAAGTCACAAACATGCACTAGGGTTCTCTTTTTCCCGTTCTGAAATGTGGCAGCAATAACTGTGTATATCACATGGTCCAGGCTCAGGCATCTGCACAGCAGGCTCCTAGGAGCAAGGATGCTAAGTCACAGTAGACAGACTGCAGTCTTGGAGATTTGCCCAGCTTCTGTCTTCAGCCTGGAGCAGCCTAAGCTGAGCACTGCTGCTGAGCGGCCTCCAGTCTCACCAGTACATGGAGTCTGCCCATCTGTTTCATGACATTTCATGGAGAGAAATAAACAAACACCTGTTCGCTCCAGCCCAGACTCACTTCTCCCAAATCTAGTGGGTGAACCAGTTTATTAGGATTACTTACTACCCCAGGCTCATGAAGGCTTCATCCCTGCAGCTTCCTGTGCAACATTGTGGGCCTCCCAAACCCTAACAGTCCAGGGAACTTCTCTTCCTCCAAAAGGGTCTATTTCAGTTGGAAGGAAATCATTGCAACACCAGCTGGAAGGCAAAGATACCTCATTTTCCCTTCATTTTCTCTTTCAGAGTGAGTTTTAGTCTCTTCATTTGTTGTTTTTTAGTGGGTTCTTCCTATGTAGCTCTGCCTGGCCTGGAACTTGCTATGTAGCCGAACTGATCTCAAACTTGAGACAGTCCCTCTGCCTCTCTGTCTCTGTCTCTCTGTCTCTGTCTCTCTGTCTCTGCCTCTCTGCCTCTGCCTCTGCCTCTCTGCCTCTTTCTCTCTGTCTGCCTCTGTCTCTCTGTCTCTGCCTCTCTGCCTCTTTCTCTCTGTCTGCCTCTGTCTCTCTGTCTCTGCCTCTCTGCCTCTGCCTCTGCCTCTCTGCCTCTTTCTCTCTGTCTGCCTCTGTCTCTCTGTCTCTGCCTCTCTGCCTCTGCTTCTCTGCCTCTGCTTCTCTGCCTCTCTGCCTCTGTCTCTCTGTCTCTCTGCCTCTCTGCCTCTGCCTCTTATTGGTTTTTGTTTGTTTGTTTGTTTTGTTTTGTGTTTTTTGTTTTTTTTTCCATTGGCTGTAGGCACTACAGCCATGTTAGGGGAGTCAGCTCCTGCCTGGGGACTTGGACATGTTCCCCACACAGTCCTCTTTTGTCATGTAAGGGCAGGGAGCAGGCAGGGACATGTCTCCTGGTTTGAGAGGCACATGTGTTCATCCTAGTGTATAGAAGAAAGAACCAAGGTTCAGCCACTTGCCCAGAGCATGCAGCTAATGTGGTAGCCTCTGCCACTCTATTTCCATCACAACCACAAAGGCCTGACATCTGTTCCCTGCAGCCCTCTTCCCCTGGGCAGGTAAAATATAGCCAGGTCTGGATGAGTACCAACCTTTGCTCAGAGGCTGAATATCCTGTTTCCCCCTGTAGACGGTGTCCTGTAACCCTGTTTTCCACCCAGTCCTGAGCCCTGTTTGGTCCTAGCTTGACCCTTCCGAGCCTGTCAGGCAGGGTTCCTTGTGGTATAGGATGAAGATGAAATTAGTGTCTGCACAGGAGAAACACACATGTAGCCTGCCAGAGCCCGAGATCAAGCCCCAGCTCCTTCCCCATCCTGCCAGCTCTTGCCTGGGATCCCTGCCACTGCCCACCAGCCGCTGGAAAAGCAATTAAACATCTGTACAAAACCCTTGTTGAAGCCAGGGCCACAGCAGGAACACATGAACCTGACAGCATGAGAGCCTCAGAGAGGGCTCAGAAACCACTGCAGTGACTCTTGAGGGTTGCGTGGGGACTTGTGATGGTATCTCATCCTGCAGTTGTCTGAACAGAGCCCATCCCACCCTGGGCTCAGTTTAGGCCAACTGACATTCAGTGTCTACTTAATGAGATGCTTTCCTGAGGCAGTACCCTCTGTCCAGGCACTCCGTCTGGGGGAGAAGCAGGGCCCAGTGAGGGTGCTGTAGACAACGCACATAAGGCATGGGCTGGGTCATGAAGACAGGTGTGACTGCAGCAGGTCAGTGGCAAGAGAGCGAGCAGCTTATGCACACTGACCTGCAACTAGGAAACTAGAGTGGAAAACTCACAAGGAGTCACTGCCGACCCTCATCATGGCCAGGCCACTAGAGGGCAGGCTGAGGTCAGGAGGGAGGAATCTAGACTGTGGGGAGGTATGGAAAGGGCCTTGGGAGTCCACACAGGCGCTGTTGACCTAGTGCAGCCTGGTGCCAGGGAAAGGGGGACTGTGGCTGTTGATAGCAGCTGCTGAGCCATCAGGCTTCGGCTGCAGAGAGGCTGTTTCGGGAGGTGGGGAGGATAAAGCAAGAGGAACTAAAGGGATGGTGTCAGAGGAAACAGGCAAGGATGGGTGGCTTGCACTTGGGACACGTTTGAGCACGGAACAAGGCTGTGATCAGTACAGACTGAGGAGGGATCCAAGAAAGGGAAGAAGGACCAGGATAGGACCGAGGTTACAGGGCCAAGCTCCCCAAGGCCAGCCAGCTCAGCACTTTTTTTGTTGTTGTTGTTTTTTTGTTTTTTGTTTGTTTGTTTGTTTTTTCGAGACAGGGTTTCTCTGTGGCTTTGGAGGCTGTCCTGGAACTCGCTTGGTAGTACAGGCTGGTCTCGAACTCACAGAGATCCGCCTGCCTCTGCCTCCCGAGTGCTAGGATTAAAGGCGTGTGCCACCAATGCCCAGCGCCAGCTCAGCACTTTACTCTAAATCCTGGCGCAATTGCCTGTCATGGGGGGGGGGGCACTGGTCAGTCCTGTTCCCACAGCCAAATATCTCAGGACCCGGAGCTTCAAAAAGGAGGAGGGTTCTGCAACTTAGAAGCCTCATGGAGGCTCTGCCCCAAGGAAAGTCAGCTTTATAAAACAAGTAAAATGGAGATTGTAAGTGAACTCCTTCATCCAGAGATCCCTTGCCCCAGAAAGCACAAGGCATGCACCAGCCTTTAATACTGGCCTCCAGGAGTCAAAGGACATCTGGGAGGCCTCTCCTCAGAGGGAACTGACAGGACCAAAGAGAGTTTCGAGATACTTGGGGCTAAAGCAAGCCTCTGCCCATCCCCTTGCAGTCAGGGTTGGAGCACCATGACCCTCTAGCAAACAGAGAATGCCTAGGAGTGAGCAGGGAGAGGGAGGACCAGGGCCGCCTCTCGTGGCCTGACTCCAGTGTATGTCCTGCCCCGTGGCCTTCCGTACACAGCACATGCTTCACCCAATGGTTTCCAACATGGACATAGAAGCCCCAGGTTAAAGTTGAGGGATCAAGCCTCCGAGTCTGAGCTAACACCAGTCTCCTGCCCCAAGAGTACCTTCTTGGCCCAAACACTGCTTAGAGATGCATCAAGGGTTACAGGGTGACCCTTCTCTGCTGCCCCGTTACTTGATTAACCAACCATTCCCACAGCTAAAAGATAGTGAGGTTAGTTATAGTTGATGCTGTTTTTCATGATGTCTGATTTAGATATTTAGCTAAGCCTCTTGACTAGGTTCAAGTGCTTTGGCTGCAAATGTCTTAGTGACTTAAGTTCTAGTTACATAGTAATATTTGAGTCCCCCACCCCCACCCAAGTCCCCACCTAATGACTGTCTCTTGCAGGATGAGAAAGAACGTATTGAAGCACTGGGTGGCTTTGTTTCTCTCATGGACTGCTGGAGAGTCAACGGGACCCTGGCAGTGTCTAGAGCCATTGGTAAGGGGGTACACCAGGGCCGCTGGGGGCGTTGGGGGAGCCACACGCTTACTCAGGTGACTCAGGGCAGAATAATGTTCCCTGAAGAACTCACAGCATATAGACCTAGATTACAGTGAGCAGTCTCCAAATAAACCATGATAAACTAAAAATACTGTATTCAGAATGTGATCCACCCAGCCTAGTGGAGCCCAGCTTGGCACAGTGTAGGGGAGTGTCAGCAGTTGCCTCCAGAATCCTAGCCAACTGTAAGCTGCAGTTCTCTGCTGCTTCCTTGGCACTGAGAGTGTTGGAGCAGGTCGCTCTACCCAGGAGAGGCCCAGGTTCAGGGTGTAGTTTCTGTTTACTGAATACCAACACACACTGTAAAGTCTGGAAATTATTAAATAAGAAGAGTGGCTTGTTCGGTAAAATGCCTGCCTAGCATGTATGAAGTCCTGGGTTCAGTTCCCACTTGTGCACTCCTTAAATCAGGCATGCTGGCACACAGCTGTGGTCCATCCCAGCCTTCAGGAGGTAGATGGAGGAGAATCGGAACTGCAAGGGTATCCTGGGCTACATAAGGTATTTGAAGCCAGCTTGGGCTAGAGTTCTTGACTCCAGTGATAATAATCAAGTAGAAACAGAAAATCAGGGACCCTCTATAGGTCCTCCTAAAATACAGTAGAAAAACCCTAACCTCTAATGGTTCTTTTCTTCCCCGCAAAACAATGTTCAAAATCCATTTTCCTCTTGGAAAATAGCTTTCCATTTTTCTCTGTATCCCACCACCGCTGGGACCCAATTCAGAGGCTTCTAACAACTCTACCTCCGTCTAGTCCCTGGGAGTCTGGCATCTGCCCTTCTCACCTCCTGTAGCCTCTGTTGGCTCCTTCCTCACAGCTGTCTTTATACCGCTGTAGCTGTTTATCTGTGGACACACTGTAGGCGGCAGCCATTCCTGGAGCGAGAACTGCTGTAGAGCTGGGGGATGATGACTCTGCTCCCGGGAGAGTGGGAAGCACTAGGCCTGCGGACTCTCGAGAGCCAGCTGCACTACATGTAGGCTCTGCCTCTGCATGCCCTTGGGGATGGAGATAGGAGGTTGGTCCTGAGCTTGTGGGCAGTAGGAAACAAGGCACTCTGTCTGTCCATTCCAGGGGATGTCTTCCAGAAGCCCTATGTGTCTGGCGAAGCAGATGCAGCATCCCGAGAGCTAACAGGCTCAGAAGACTACCTGTTGCTTGCCTGTGATGGCTTCTTCGATGTGGTCCCCCACCAGGAAGTCACGGGTCTTGTCTACAGCCACTTGATCAGGCAGAAGGGTAGCGGGTTACATGTTGCTGAGGAGCTAGTGGCTGTGGCCCGTGACCGGGGCTCCCATGACAACATTACAGTCATGGTAGTCTTCCTTAGGGACCCCCAAGAGCTGCTGGATGGCAGAGTCCAGGGAACAGGGGATGCCCAAGCAGACGTAGGAAGCCAGGACTTGCCCACTGGCCTCTCAGAACTTGAGACCAATAACTCACAGAGAAGCTAGGTGGTCCAGGCCCCCGGGCCCCATCCTGACTCCCCTCTTCCCTTGTGATCCTCCCTTCAAAGATCTTAGATCCAACAGGTATAGCGGGCAGGGGTGCATGCCCTCACAGCATTCCCCTAGCACCCCAGCCCTTCATGCCGCCTGCCAGTCTGTCCCCAGAACTGCAGAGCTGCAGTGGGCAGCACGTGGCTCTCAGAAGGAAGCATAGAAAACTGGCCTCACCAAAGAGAAAGTGGCTGAGGTGGTCCCAGCAATACAGGGCTGCGGACAGAAACCACAGGCACCTGTTGGCAGCCTAAGCAAAAACCCAGGTCAGGTCTTAAGAGACCCTCCCACAGACCTTTCAGGCCCATCCTAGGGTAAGGTCTGCAGCCAGGTGTCTGGCCCAGGCTTGTGACTTCTCACTGTACCCAAGGCTGGGAGGGTTTGGTCTGTACTGACAGACAGACTCGCAGTCCTGATTGACTACTGGCTTCCCCAAAAGGAGACATTGGCGTTGCTGGGAGGAGCACCAGGGGACTGGCCCACTGCCATTAGGGTCTTCTAGACCTCTCTTTCCCTTGATCATCTTAGGGAGGTAAAGTCAGGGGTGTGTGTGTGTGTGTGTGTGTGTGTGTGGTGTTTGTGTGCTTAGATTTATTGCAGGGAAAGGTCTAATCCAGAATCAGTGTTCAGGTTTTATCAGTGCCAAGCTGACCCACAAGGTCATGTAATTTAAGCTAAGCTTAGCATTTATTTTATTCCTGAAAACTTAAGTATTTTACTTTTTTATGTATTCATGAAGACATTTGCAGTATTACTCATTTTTTTTTCCTAAATCAAGATGGAAAGAAACTTTTCCAGGTTGTGTTAATAAGCCACTTAAGTGCCTTAAACAGCTTTGGCGTGGATGAGAGCTGCTGGCCCCGCATGGATCCTGCTAGGCAGACATGTTCAGGTTCTCAGAAAGGCAGCATTGGTTGTGGGAAGGCATGCTTTAGGCTAGAACTCTTTCTGGGAAGCTTCCTTTGTGTTCTGGGCACCTCAGAACTTCCTTGAAATGATTAGCAGAGCTAGGCTTCTGGGATGACAGTGGCCTCCTTGCCCATCCTTGGGGTCTGGCTAGATCCTGACTAGGAAGATCTTCCTGCTCGTAGACTAGAAGTTTCAGAATCTCTTAGTATACTTGTAGTATCATTGGGTACAGTGCATAGTTAAGGAACTTCGGCGACCCAGCAGTCCACCCCATCGGGGAGGTTCCTAGCAGTCTGCCGCCATGGTCACCACCTGTCTCCTGTGGCTGGTGTTCCTCCCTGCTGGACTCTGTCCTCTACCTGAGCAACACGAAAGACCTCCACATCCCTAGAGCAGGGGGCAGTGAAGACTTGGCAATGATGCCTGGGTGCTTGGAGAGCTGTGATGTATAAAACCAGTTAAGGAAACCAGGCAGAGGAAGGGGCACCTGGAGTAGAAGGACTAAGGAGGCCCCCAGAGAGGGCCAGTGTGAGTCACGGCTGCTCCATGCAGATGCCAGCAGGTCCGGAGGATAATGGGTGACTTAGCAGAGGCGCAGGGGCGTCAGGGAAGAAGCTTGGCGTGAGGTCCCCGTGGAGAGGATGATAGCCCACCAGTGGAGAGCACAGCCTCAGCAAGGCTCGCACAGTGTGCCTCAGTGCACCTAACCCTCTCAAAAGAAGCAGGGCACACATGCTTTTGTCCCTGAGGCAAGTCCAGCAGTGTGGGGGGAGCCACCTTTGGTTGGGCACACCACCTGTATGCTTGGCATTCACCCATTCCCACATCGGGGATGGAGGAGTTCTGGCCATGTAGTTGATTCCTTGATCAAAGTCTAAACACTTAGATGATTGCCCGCCATGACTGGGTATTGCTCAACTCAAAGACCTGGTATCCTCTCAGAACAGGAGTGTGGTGGTTTGTCCAACCTGCCTGTAGCAATGACCTTGATAGAGGGAGATAATGACATTGGTTTTCTCCCTTTTTTGCTAATCTTATTCTGTTCATTGCTGGTAAGAGTGGACTTTAGGCCCACATAGATGTCCCTTGATGGTCTGATTCATACTCACATATAAGGTTGTGCCAGATGCCAAGGGCTCAGTGTAAAAAGGGAAGCTCCCTTCCCAGGCTTCCCTGAATGCCTCCCCTCCTCCCAGTCCATCTGTAGTGGTGATTGCCAAGCCCCTGCTGGACAGTAGTCCAGGACCAATGCTAGGCACTGCTCCTCCTCTCCTAATGGCCAAGGGAGAGCACATTCTCCTGCTGTTGAGAACTGGCCTTGTGCTAGCTCATAGACGCTTCTATTCTAACTGGAGCTGCCAGTATCTAGCTTATAAGACTTCTTGGGCATTCTCTCTTCAGGCTCTCATCCCAAGAGGATCCCCTAGCCAGAGTGATCCCATTTCTTAAATCCCAGCTTTGCCACCATCTCATTGCATGAACTGAACAAGGCACTGCACCTCTCTGGCCTCAGTTACCCTTTGGTAAGGATGGAGGGGATGCACAGCATCACCAGTCCCTCCAGCCTAGAATGTCAGAGAGATAGGGGCTGCTGTAAGAGCAGAGGAGCCCATCCTGCACAGAGAGAGTTAAGTATTATTAATGTCTATTCTTAAAACTCAGTGGGCTGGAAAAGAGCTGAGTTACAGACGCCAGTGTCTTGCTTGGATACAAAAGCTAAAGCAGTCAGGCCGCCTCCCAACTAAGCCCGTAGGAGTAAGAGGTGGGAGGGCACAGGCAGGGTGTTAGTCAGGGACCAGCATAGGAAGGGGTGTGGAAGCAAGGTATCTGCGACATAGCTTTGAGAGTCTCGGGACTCATGGGAGAGGTCTTGGGAAAGCCCCTGCCGCTCACCATGATGTCTGCCCTGTCCCCTTGGGTCCTGCATGCAGTGCACCCTCACCCCATGGTAGGTCTCAGAATAGGTGTCCTGGCTACCTCAGCTGTATTCTCAGGGCCAGGAGGACAGCCCTGTCCACACTGTAGGGAAGCCAGGCCAACTTGTGTGAAGCGAGCTGTGTTTCTGGCTTGATAGTGCCTCTGTAGTCCCCAGGGATCGTCTTCGAGAGTCCTGAGCTTCCACTGGACTCTACAGCTTTACCAAACACTCTGAGCTTTGCATTTACATGCCATGTGGGCCTTGCCAAGGGTTTATTTCAGGGGGCTTCCTGGGAGTCATATGCAACAGTGAGCCTTGTTCTAAGATACCATGTTTCTCTAATCTTAGGGAAAAGTCCCAGGGTGGTGAACTCAGAAGGAAAGTCTCCTGGGCCCATTGTGCTGGTGTCAATAAACTGTGTATTCAAGATTGCTGAGTACCACGTGCATCTCCCTCTGAGTGTCTGTCTATGGTTACTTCTGTATCATAAAAAGGGCAGTGTTAGCTAAAGGTATTCTAGACAGTTCAACCTATGGTTGATCCCATGTGCTTGCACAGGACATGGTGGCAGGAGTATGTGACAGACTTAATGGGTGTCTACCTCAAAGCCAACCCAGGAAGTATGAGGAGGTGACAGGGACTCACACCAAGTGATAGGCTTCCTCAAGCCAAGACCTGCTTGCTATTTTCTGCAATTTCCCAAGATAGTACCAACAACTTGGGACCAAGCTCTGAAAACATGAGCCTTGGAGAGACATTTTGGATTCAGGACCCTCTTGGTGTCCAAAGTATGTTTTGAAGCTGCTGAGGGAATGAATACCTAGCCAGTTGGTCCTAGTTGTCCTCCTGACACTGTGCCACCAGCCATGGGGACAGTAAAGTGGGGCAGGGCTTCTCGGGAGCTCCAGCAGCATCAGTGCCTCACCACAGCCAAGAGCCTGAAATGGCTCAGGCATTTGTCCACGGAGACCCCTGCCTGCTGCCTGGCACTCTCTTCCTGCACATAGGGCCTTCGAACAGGGCAAGGGCAGGGGCTCTCAGCAGAGGGTACACAGTGGGGAGCATGGCTGCTGAGCCCTGAGTGAATGTACTAAGCTCTCAACACTGGTTTCTGAGGCAGGGTTATGAAACATTCCTTTTCCTTATTTAGGCTTTCCCCTGAGTTCCGTTAATACAGCAAACATGCTTTTGTTTTCAGTCAAATTTTATTTCAGTAGAACAGATGAATATTAAAATACTGTATTTTGGGGTATGTTATCTCCAGATACCCAAATGTTATCTCCAGATACTTTCATATTACTGTAATTTAAAAAAAAGCAAGTGATGGAAGAAGGTTCCAGAAGGGCACAATCCATCTGGATGGGGAAGACATGTCAGGAGGATGAGGCCAGCCCAGCAGCCTGGAAGAGTCATCTCATCTCATTCATACAGTGGAAGCAGAAAAAGACCAGAAAGTGAGGCCAACTATTAGTCTTCAAAGCCCACCCCAGTGACCCACTTCCCCCAGCAAGGTCCCAAGCAGTACCACCAGCTGAGGAGAAGTGTAGCGTTAGGGTCTGTAGGGTGCAGCTCTGGCTGTCCTGGAACTCACTCTGTAGACCAAGTTGACCTTGAACTCACAGAGATCCGTCTGCCTCTGCCTCCGCCTCCCAATTGCTGGGATTAAAAGTGTGAGCCACCACCACCCCAGCATGGTGTGCATTTCATATCAAGCCACAGCACCAGACAATCTTAAAACACCCCTTAGATTTACAACCCCTAAGGGGAGTCGGAAAGAGCTTGGTGTTGCTATGTAAACAAACTGCAGCACAGTGCTATGGGCCAGGAGTTACACACAGTTCCATGACTGAATCAAGTCAAAAAGGTTTTTGCCAAGAGCAACTGAAGTATCTGACTCGTAGAGAGCGTGCTTTAGACGGGCCAGTGGTGGTGCACACCTTTAGTCCCAGCACTCGGGAGGCAGAGGCAAGTGGATTTCTGTTGAGTTCGAGACCAGCCTGATCTACAAGAGATAGTTCCAGGACAGGCTCCAGAGCTACACAGAGAAACCCTGTCTCGAAAAAACAAACAAAAGAAGAATCATTAGAGCAGGTGGCCTTTAAGAGAGACATGCCTGGACCTACCCATCTCCTCATTTGACTCCAGACCTGCAGCCTCCTATTCCTCCACAGTGACCTCACCTTGGGGGCCTCACCCACCTTGGGGACAGCCAACAGCTGGCTAGAGTGGGATTTGCTCCCAGAGGCCTCAGCTGCAGTAAGTACATGCAGACGAAGTAGATCGGAGCCCCCAGGACATAGGAAACCTGCTCTTCAGGACACCCAAAAGCCTTCTCTGTGCCCGTCAGGGTTAGTACATCATTTCAAGTCAAGATGACTGAGGAGCCACCAGTGGCAGGGCTCAGTCTAGCCATGTAGCAGACACTAGCCTGGCATGTGTAACGCAGCTCCTGATGCTGAGATGAGGGAGCCCTCAAAGTCAGCCACCGAGTCCCCACCGAGAGTGGAAGACCCCCTGCCTGCCAAGTCTCCAGTGGCAATTCTTCAACCCAAGGAAGAAGCGGTTTTCGGGATCCCTAACTGTAGTTTCTATCAATTGGTTTGTGATTCCTTCATCAAACAGTAGCAGGTGACAGCGGCTGCAGCCTCAGGGACCCACAGAGAACATTAAAGCTAACTACGTGAAGCACAGCCTCGAAATGCCAATGAGGATAGGAGGGGTCATCCAAAACCAAGTATGCAGGAAAATGCCATAAGGAAACCTGTTACTGTATAGACTACTGAAAGCCAAAAGGCCTTCCAATAAACCTCACTCTGCCTTTTAAAGTGTCCTGAACGGATCCCTAGAACTAGGAAAGGCCCTTATACCTTAGGCTTCGGGGAGGGTTTACCAGCCTAGGCCCGCCACACCCCTTCCTCCCCAGCATCATCTCAGCCCAGGCCAGGTCCATTCTGCCTGTGCCTCTGGGCCTCTGTTGCTCCCCAGTGTCTGCCTTGTTTCCCCCAACCCTTCCCCAGCCACCCAGACTGGTCCTTCCAGGGCTGAAGATCATGCTTCACAGAAGGCACCCTCATCTGCCGCTGTTTAGAGTGGGAATGGGGGATGCTGGGGCTGGGGTGTGGCAGAGCCAGGCAAAGAGGCAAGAATTCTTTTTCCCTTTTTCTTTTCTTTTTTTTTTTTTTGGTTCTTTCACAAATGTACATAATACAAACACTCCTACAACCCACCCTCTCACCTCTCCCTACTACCTCATAAACCACTTCTCTCCCCTACAAATCTCTTTTCTCTGACTAGTGGGCTGGTGCCTAGCCTGTCCCCCGAACTCCCTGCCCCCAGAGGACACAGATGCCCACTAGGCAACAAGCCCAGAAGACGATAATGCCAACATGCAAATCTGGGGGTTCCTGCTCAGGCCCTGCCCCCCTGCTACCCACGCATCCATCTGTCTTCCCCTCCCCCCACCCACACAACTCCTCCAGAGCTCCTGGCAAAGCCTCCTTAAGTATATGCTGCCTTACTGTTCCCTGATGAGTCGTCTCGTGTATCTGAATCTCCAGATGGTGGTTTGCACTCCCCCTGTCCTCCAATTGCGTGTAGCTTGACACCCTCTCTCAGAGCCACCAGATGGGAGTGGGGGAGGCCTGGAGCACAAGTAAGGTGTGATGGGCAGATAGGTGCAAGCTGGAGCTATTCCACCCAAGTGACCAGGCTACCAGCATAGGGCAGGGAATGTGTGTTAGACTCGACCAGGAAGGAGCCGCAGTCTGCTAGGGTAGGTGGGATTGGGTCTTATTTATGTCTACCCAATGAAGGCTTCCTTCTGAGGAAGGGAACCTGAAAGCCAGGTCTCCAGGCAGGAATACTGGCTAGCAAGCTGATATCCAACTTGATTACGTATCTCCCCACTCACTAATCCTACACACCCGTCTCAGCCTCATCAGCTTGTCTGATGGGCTCTCAGCCGGTCAAAAGAGGACGTGAGATGGGACCCTTGGCACATAGGTCACTATGGGGTCATAACCCCAGCACTTAAGAGGCCAAAGAAGAGAACTGAAATCTCAAAGCCAGCCTGGCCTTATATTGGAAGACCTTGTTTCAAAAATTCAAAACAAGAGGCTAGGGAGACAGATCTTCTGGTAAAGTGTTTTTGCCTTGCAAGCAAGAAGACTTGAGTTCAGTCCTTAGAATCCATGATTTTAAAAAGCCAGACTTGATGGTGTATGTCCCAGAACTGGGGAGCCAGACAGAAGGATTCCTGGAGTTCTTTAGTCAGCTGGCTATATTAGAGGTTTTCAGAAGAACAGAAGCAATAGAATGAATGTATATTAAAGGAGATTTATTAGATTGGCATATATATTTATTAGATTGACTTTAGATTGGGTAGTCCAACAATGGCTATGTCACACCATAAAGGTCAAGAGTCTGGCAGTTGCTCATTCATGAGGACAGGTTGCCTGCTAGCTGCCCGTCTTCAGTCTACAGTAGAAGCCTTAAAAAGCTGGTTCTAATATCAATAAGGAGTGTAGCAGTTGCATCAGAACAGATGAATTTGCCAGCAAGAATGAAGGCAAGCTTCCTTCTTCTCTCTCCTTTTTATCTAAGTTGCCACCAGAAGGTGCCACCCACATTTAGTATGAGTTTTTTTCATTTTAAATAATCTAACCAAGAAAATCCCTCAAAGAGAGATGATGGTGTACAGTTTTAATCCTAGCACTCTGGAGGCAGAGGCAGGAGGATTTCTGTGAGTTCAGGGCCAGTGTGGTCTACCGAAGGAGTTTCAGGACAGCAAGAACTACATGAACTATCTCACAACGAAAGGAAAGAAAGGAAGGAAAGGGAAAAGAAAGGAGAGGAGGGGAGAGGGAGGAGAGGAGAGGAAAAGAGACTGGAGGGGAGGGGAGAGGAGAGAAAGGGAGGGGAGGGGAGAGGAGAAGAGAGGAAGGGAGGGGAGAGGACAGGAGAGAAGGAGTGCCCAACACTTAGTTGATAGCAGATCATCCATCCCAACAACCTAGCACACTTGGCAAGTTCTGGGTCAGTGAGAGACCGACTCTCAAGACAAAAGAATAAATAGGAAAGGTGGGTGGCATTTGAGGAATGAATGACACCTGAGGTAGTTGTCTCACACACACACACACACACACACACACACACACACACACACACACACACGCATGTACGTTTACCTAACAATAGCCTAAAGCAGAGCATTGAAGCAGAGGCCCTGTTGGGAGTATAGTGAGCGAACACCTGCTGGTGCCTTGGATTGTTAGGAACTAGTGCTCGTTACAGTAAAACCAGTTATTTCTGGGTGGTTAGATGCTATAGGTTTTTTTTTAAATATTTATTTATTATGTATACAATCTTCTGCATGCCAGCAGAGGGCACCAGATCTCATTCAAGGTGGTTGTGAGCCACCATGTGGTTGCTGGGAATTGAACTCAGGACCTCTGGAAGAACTGTCAGTGCTCTTAACCTCTGAGCCATCTCTGCAGCCCCCAGATGCTATAGGTTTTTATATATCAAAAAAAATGTATCTTCTTTTTGCTTCTTTGTTTGTTTGTTTGTTTTCAAGACAAGTTCTCTCTATGTTTGTTTGTTTGTTTGTTTTAGACAGGATCTCATGTGTCCCAAGCTGACCTTGAACTCCTGATCCTCCTGTAACTCCTGAGTACTTGAATGACAACTATGTACCACCACACTTTGCTTAAGTATGTTTTTTTTCTTCCTCCTCCTTCCCTCCTCCTCCTCCTTTTATCATCATCATCATTGTCATTCATCAATGTCATTGTCATCGTCATCTTACTACTGAGGTTGAACTCTAAGCCACACCCATGCCAAGAATGCACTCATCATTCATTTAGCTGTGTCCAGCCCTCATTTTCCTTTTTGTTGTTGTTGTTGATTTTTGGTTTTGATTCAGGGTCTCTTGTAGCCAAGGCTGGCCTCAGACTCACCCCCACCTGGAAATACAAGCACACACGATCACACATGGAGGAGTGGGGGTGGGAGGTGGCACTCACTGAGCCCCCCCCAAATATGCCTAGATGAAGTATGTCACCATAGCTGAGTGGAGACTTAGAGTCACACAGCAGAACCCCACTGTGTCCTTCTAGGCAATCAGAGTTGAGCCTTCCTCTCTCTGGTCACCACCTGCTGTATCTGAGAACTGGGATGGCAAGTATGTACATGTGTGCTTATGCGAGTATGTGAATGTGTGTGTGAGAACACGAGTGAGGGTGAGGATGCTAGCATGTGTGCTGGTAAATGTGTCTATGAGCATATGAGTGTGGAGAGAATGTGAGTGTGTATGTATGGAATTGTATGTGTGAGTTCATGATAGTATATGTGGAATATATCTGTGAGTTTTGTGTGTGTGTGTGTGTGTGTGTGTGTGTGTGTATGAGACGTGTGGCTGCCCATGTAGCTGAGTAGATTTAAATAGAATGAGTTTTTTAGAAATAAGACACATGTACCAGCAGTTGGTCTTCAACAAGTCTTGTAGGAACCTTTGGGAGGCTTTAGTCAGATCCAGCCAACTTTCCCAGTTCATATCTGAGAGGGGGAGTGTGGGTTGAGAAACAGCAGGTAAAGATAGTAAGGAAAAGATAGACACAGAATAGGGTCAGGAGGACAATCCAGTGACTACTGAACATCCCAAGTTTATTCTACAACATTCTAATGCACCCAAACCAAAGAGGGAGAAAAGGCAAGAGACTTCTTTATCAAGATAGACTTTCTTCCTTAATTTTCCGAACATTCAGTAGACTTAATCTCTTGTTATCTGACCTTGAGGGTTAAGAGTAACCATACCTTAGACCAAGTCTCTTGTTGTTTAGATAAGAAACCCACACCTTAGACTAACCATCCTATAGTAGCCATACCTTAGAACTTTAGGTCTTATGACTTAAACCTTGGAAGAGTAAGAATAGTTTAAAACTCTCTGACCTTAAGTCAAGATGAAGCGAAGCCATTTTTATGGACCCCCAACAAAGTTTTACTGAATTCTTATATCTTGAGAGAGAATCACTTCCTTAGTTTAGAGAATAAATATGGAGTTGTCACAGTGCTGCTGAGCCTGGGTTGTGTGGCAGTCAAGGTCCTTGAAGGTGACAGCAGAGTTTGCCCTTTACTTTGCCTGTGACACAAGTCTCGCTTGTGGGGATCAGAAAGAAAGTGTACTTCCATGTGAAGAGAGCCCCAGGGATGTGAGCATGCCTTCTGAGCTATCTCAGTTACTTTTAATTATTAACTTTGATGAGTCACCTGGGAAGAGGAGCTCAATAAATAAGGGATTGTCTGCATTGAGTTGTCCTGTGGGTATGTCTGTGGAGAATCACTTAATGATGTTGATTGATTTGGGAAGACCTACCCCTCCACAAGGCAGGGGGTACTGGATGGAATGTAACTGAAGAAACCCAGCTGAACACAAGGCAGCAAGCCTGTGTGCACTCTTTCTCAATGCTCTTGATTGTGGGTGTGGGTGTGACGCTCCTTCCTCCACTTCCCCCAGCGATGGACTGTGACCTGGGATTCTGAGCTGAAATGAACCTTCTTCCCTAAGTTGCTTTTTTTTTCCAGACAGGGTTTCTCTGTGTAATAGCCCTGACTGTCCTGGAACTCTATGTAGACCAGGCTAGCCTTGAACTCACAGAGATCTGCCAGCTGCTGCCTCCCAAGTGCTGGGATTGATGGTGTGCGCCACCACTGCCCGGCCCTGAGTCGATTCTTGACATGGTATTTTAATCACAGCAACAGAAATGAAGCTAGATCTCATGCCTTCTTACGCATGAGCGCTTGCCCTTGTACAAATGATGACATTTGTAGATAGCACCAACTGAACTTGCTGGCTGGCCCGGGAATGCAGCTCAGCTGGTAGAGGGCCTGTGCAGCATGCACGAATGAAGACCTGGGTTTCAATTCCCACCACCATTTAATTGGCATGGTGGTCCATATCTGTAGTCCCAACACTCAGGATGTGGAGGCAGGAGGATCAAAACTTCAAAGATCATTCCCAACTACATAGGGAGTTTGAGGTCACTCTAGGATGCATGAGAGTCTCCCTCAGCAGGCAAGGGGTGGTTCTTTACAGCAAACCCCTTTAACTGCAAGGGACAAATTCCAAGACCTCCAGTAAGCATTTAACCCACAAATCTAACCCCTCACACTTTTGGCTATCTCTTTTGTAGACTGAAAGGGGAAAAAAACTAGCACAAATTTCCTTTTTCTCCTTCATAATTTCACAGAAAAATTTGTTCTTACTATAGGTCTTACCAAACTTAGTGTATAGTTTTTTTAAATTCCCTTATTAAGTCAAGAATTTACACATTTTCACTTAAAGAAAATATTTTTGGCTTCTTTTGTTATATCAAAATCATCAATATCAATACTTTTTTTTTCTTGATTTTTCAAGACAAGTTCTCTCTATGTAACAACCCTGGCTGTCCTGGATGGCCTTGAACTCACAGAGATTGACCTGCCTCTGCTTCCCAAGTGCTGGGATTAAGGGCATGTGCCACCATGCCCAGCCAATATCAATATTCTTGTACTTTAGAGTCAGTACTAAGTAAATTAAGGAAGGGTTCCTAAAACTTGAGCATTTATAATGCCAGTACAATCCTTTATGACTAGTAGGTGGGTAGTGTGTACAGCAGGGATGTACTGGATAAAGGGGTGACTCACATCCTGTGTGGAATGAAGCCAGTTAGTGCAAATTTCATCACCCAGTGCTGAAGAGATGACTCAGTGGCTAAGAGTATTGGCTGCTCTTCCAGAGGTCCTGAGTTCAATTCCCAGCAACCACATGGTAGCTCACAATCATCCGTAATGAGATCTGGTGTCCTCTTCTGGTGTGGAAGCATACATGCAGACAGAACATTGTAAGATAGATGGATGGATAGATAGATAGATAGATAGATAGATAGATAGATAGATAGATAGATAAATCTCTTTTAAAAAGATTAAAACGAACTTCACCCAACTCAGAATGGCACACAATTTAGAACTGACAAATTGTTTATTTCTATAATTTTCCACTTAGTCTTCAAACCACATGTGACTTCAGATACTTGAAACCACAGAAGGGAGGGCAGTGAGAGAGAACTGTACCAAAGTATAGGAAAGGTCAATAAATTGTAGGGCCAGCAAGAGAGGATCTGGGACCATTGCGTGACCCAAGCATGAAGGTGAGGGGGAGAAGAGAGCCAGGAACACAAGCGAGAACTTGGCCTTTAACCTTCTGGTACTTTCTGTCCCCCACCCACCAGTCTTTTCCAGGAGCTTCTGGTCATGCCCACCTGAGAACCAGACCAAAGGGCAAAGCAAACCTGGAAGACAACAGGTATGAGGTGCCCTCAGTGGTGTGGCCTGTGCATGAAAGGATAGATGGTGACATAGTCTCATGATGGATCCCTGTATGTCTGTTTAGAAGATGATATCAAATTATGCTCAGACCTGGGCAAGAGGAAGCAATGACAACACACAAAATTATCCTATTTCAGCAGTGAAAATATAAGAACTTGTGTGTGTGTGTGTGTGTGTGTGTGTGTGTGTGTGTGTGTATGTGTGTGTTTTCCAGTACTAGGAGTTTGACACGGGCTTCCACAAGCACTTATATAAAGAAATAGGTATTGTCTCATAAGTTTCTCCTGAAAATCACATGGAGAATTCTAGTTCCATCTCAGAGGTGATGTGAACGAGATAGTGTGGACTTTCATGCCATGCTTCACACAAGATGCATCATTTTAATTTGTAAAACTCAGTGTCTTAGTCACTGTTCTATTGCTGGAGAGACACCATGACCAAGGCAACTCTTATGAAAGAAAGCATTAAAATGGGGGCTGGCTTACAGTTTCAGAGGATTGGTCCATTATCATCATGGCAGAGAGCATGGCAGTACACACAGTGCTGGGCAATAACTGAGAACTGCATTAAATTGGGGGCTGGCTTACAGTTTCAGAGGGCTGGTCCGTTATCATCCTGGTAGCACACGTAGTGCTGGGGCAGTAGCTGAGAACTGCGTTCTGATCTGCAGGCTGAGGGAGAGAAACAATGGGCCTGACACGTTCTTTTGAAACCTCAAAGCCCTCTCCCGGCGACACACTTCCTCCAAGGCCACACCCCCTAATCTTTCCAATCCTTTCAAATAGTGCCACTCCCTGGAGACTAGGTTTTGGAATAAATGTGCCTATGGGGGGGGGTGGGCATTCTTGTTTTGCTTTGTTTTGTTTTTCAAGACAGGGTTTCTCTGTATTGTCCTGGCTTTCCAAGAACTCACTCTGTAGACTGGACTGGCTTTGAACTCAGAGATCCATCTGCCTTTGCCCCCCAAGTGCTGCAGTCAAAGACATGCACCACCATGCCTTGGGGGAGGGGCATTCTTATTCAAACCACCACAAGGAGTATAAAATATTTTTCTCTTCTCAGTGTGAGTCTAAGAGCTCACATATCTGTAGTGTATGTGTGTGTGCGTGTGGATGCATGTGTGTGTGCCTGTCCACCTCATCTTTAAGAGTCTCTTGATCCAGCTAGGCTGGCTGGCTAACACACTTCAAGGGCCCACCTGTCTCTGCTTCTATTACTATGATTACAAATGTGTGCTACCAGCCAGGAGGTAGTAGTGCACACCTTTAGTCCCAGCAGTCGGGAGGCAGAGTCAGGAAGATCTCTGTGAGTTTGAGACCAGCCTGATCTACAAGAGCTAGTTTCAGGACAACCTCCAAAGCCACAGAGAAACCCTGTCTTGAAAAACCAAAAAAAAAAAAAAAAAGTGTGCTGCCCTGGCTCACAGAGTCAGTCAACGGGGACCCTAGGGCAGGGAGTGAGAATGGGGGGACGAGACACGCGAGAGACAGAGACAGAGACAAGACAGGATTCTGATCAAGTCTCATTTATTGAAAGCACCAACAGGGCTTAAGTAAGGCAGGTAGCAGAAGGGCGGGGGGGGGGGGAGCAGAAGTTTTCCTTGGCAGGGTATGTTCCAAGGACACAAGTCTGCAGCTGGGGGAACCTGGACTGCAGGCCAGGTGGCAGAAGGGTGGGAGAGCCTGGACTGCAGGCATTGAAAATGGGCTGTACAGGAGGATAAACAGGCACAGAGAAACAGAATCTTAACTAAGTGTTAGTCTCCAAGAATACAGTATGAATATTAAGATGGCTTCTATTATGCTATCCTTATTTAGGGCCCTCCACAGTGTGCTACCACACCTGACTTTTATATAAGCACTGGAGATCATAACTCAAGGTCTCATGCCTGCACAGAAATCACTACACTGTCTAAGTCATTCCCTCAGCCCCACAGGGAATATTATATAATTAAAAATGAAAAGAGTAGAGAAGCTTGGTTGTACATGGGAGCTAGACTTAGAAGAATCAGGAGTCCAAGGTCATCCTCAACTGTGTAGCAAGTTTGAGGCTAGCCTAGGCTACACAGGACTCTTTGGGTTTGCAGGGGTGTTAGAAGTCAGAGGTGCTAGAACTGCTAGGCTGAGGAAAAAGCTTAGGTGAAAAGAAGGGTTAAAAGGTGCTTGACAGAGAGGCCAGGCTGTCAATGTCAAGATCAACCGGGCTGTGGAGATGTGGCAGGGGCTGGGCTGCAGAAGACTTGCACACAACCCTTTGCCTCCTTACCCTCCCTTCTCTGCCTTCTCCTCAGAAATGACAACATGGCTGGAAGCCAAAGGAGGCAGTGGTGTGGTTGGAAAATTGAGCAAATATATTGAGGATAGTGTAAGGCAGGATTCTCACTGTTGAGGAAAATAACAAACACAGCTCTTATGTAAAAACCTAAGAAACAGAGCTGAGTTCTTTATGCATGTAATTGTCAGCTTTCAATCACTGTGACAATAAAAATCAGCTTTAAAGAAGCTCAAGGTTTCAAAGATTTAAATTCTGGTGACTTGGCATCATCATTTGTAAGTCTATAGTGATACAGAGCCTACATGGCAATGGTAACGGTCATGTCCAACCTGGAGGAAACAACCACACAGTTCTTGTATAAAAACATTCTATATGAGGATATATATGTATATATATATATATTAGATAAATGCTGTATAACTCTTAACAATATATGTGAACTCCCTCTATACAGGTGTGTTATCTCTCTTTGTACGTTTGGATAGATATCAAGATATAGGGGCCGCTGGGTGGTGGTGGCGCATGCCTTTAATCCCAGCACTCGGGAGGCAGAGGCAGGCGGATCTCTGTGAGTTCGAGGCCGGGCTGGGCCGATAGCCTCTGAAACAATACAGAGAAACCCTGTCTCGTAAAAACCAAAAAAAAAAAAAAAGATATAGGGGCCGACTTGAGAGAGCTCCCCTTCAATGGTCTACCTGACCTTTGGAGTAATGGGGAATGTTTTTCTGTGTATATGTTTGTCTTATTGGTTGATGAATAATGCACTGTTGACCAATAGGGAATCAAGATAGGTGGGATGAGGAGTCAAAGAGGATTCTGGTAAATGTAGTAAAGAGAAGTCACCATGTGATCCAAGCAGGAAGACATAGGGGCGGGGGGAGAATCAGTATAGAAGCAGGGACAAGCAGTCTCTTCTCTGCGGAGACTCAGAACAAATGTGATGTAGACTCCAAAGGAGTAAGAGGCCCGGATCTTCTCTCCAGTAAGATATGGCCACAAGGAAATACATAGATTAGTAGTTAGGGGTTAACAATTAGAAGCCCAAGTCGCCAGCCAACAGCTTATAACTAATATAGTGTCAGCATGTTTCTTTGGGGCAGAGAAGGGCAGTGGGACCTAGCTAGGCCAGAAAAAAACATCACATTACATTGGAGCATCAACATAAAAAGTTATGAGAGGGTAATAGATGTGTCCCAGTGAGTAAAGTGCTTTCTATCATTCATAATGCCCTGCGTCTGATCCCCAGACCCCAACCAACAACCCCAGAACTAACAACCAATGAATCTCAAGGGCATCCTTGGCTACATAGTAAGTTTGAAGCCACTTAGGCCTACATGAGAGTCTGTCAAAAAAAAAAAAAAGAAGTTGAGAGACTACTAACTACTGACTTGTAGAGACATCTATGAGTCCATATTACTCAGAAAGAATGGGAGCTCTTCTCTGTGTGCAGAACAACTCAAGAATATACAAAGAGCAACAAATTGAAAAAGCAGCTGTCTAGTCAGCTTCACTTGGTCTGGGGAGAACAGGCATCATAGAGTTGTGGCTGCTAATGCTGGTGGGCAGAGGTTTGAAGATTAGCTCCACAGAATCCCTCTTCCTCCACTCTCCTGTCACACCCTCCTATCACACCCTTATCAGGAAGTGAGGCTGCTTTCTCTGCCTTGAAAATTTCTGTGGGCCTTGGAACATGGCAGGAAAGAAACACCATGTAACTCCCAAGGTCGGGTCCAGAAGACACCCTCCTCTCTGGAAGCTCCCAATCTGTGACAATTCTCAAGTCCCAAAGGACCATCCCTCCTCATCTGTCTTTTAGCTCCCACACCCTAGGGTTCTATCCTCAGGGTGAATCTGGAGTATGGTGGCTGTTCTTGGATATCAGATAAAGGATGTACAGCCTTTATATACGATGAATGAAGATTTTGATTTTTCCATGTTTGCCCTCACTCTGGCTTGCAAGTCCTCTCCTACACTGGTATTAGAGACTGCTTCTTCGGGATCACAACATGTACTCAAGACCAGCTGAGACATCCAGCCTCGTGGACTTTCCACGGGGAGATAGCAATTGCTGTACTGGCCAAACCTCTAGGAGGCCTGTTAAGCAATTCTAATAAATCGTGTGTGTGTGTGTGTGTGTGTGTGTGTGTGTTCAGACTATCAGTTGTGTTCCTCTAGAGAACCCTGACTAATGCATGGAGCCACCAGCCATTTAAATTATTTTTAAAACATTGATATGCCACAGCCAGACATCATGAGGAGACTCAGAAGTCAAGCCTGATATATTCTGCCTGAATTCCTAATCCACAGAACCCACAATGAAATATATTTGTAATGTCATAATGTTTTAAGCACTCTATCAGGCAAAAATAGATAATACAAACATTGGCAGAGTATTAAACACCTCTGTATGAGACACCACAGGAGTTTTGTAGCAGAAAAGCCAGAGTGACCATTGTACCAAGGTCATAACAATGACCAAGTCGTCACCTTGTCTCTCTGATAGGATGTGATGTGTCTTCCCCACAGCATCATCTTGTATCAGAGCTCCAAACCTTAGAGGCCCCAAGACTTAAGCACAACAAACAAACTCCATGATAGAAATGCCATTCAGGCTGTAAAACTCATCATGTAGACAGTACCACCTTTCAAAACAAAAACAAAGACCTAATTCATCAAAATCCATTTTTCTGGAAAAGTCTCTAA